CGCAATGCGCAAAATAATAAAATGGGGACAAAGCCAAGCACTGCTGCAGAGATCAATCACGAATAAACTCCTTGGAAAAACATGTGCAGGGCCGAAAGCGTCTTGTCTTGTTTTGGATTTTCCAGCGGAGCTGCTTAGCTCAGCGGCTCCATTAACGCTTAGTTAACTACCTTAGTAACTTATGTGTTAGGGTACTTCATCGAACCCTCATTGCCTGGAGCTTCAGGCATCACATCACATCTTACGCTGGTTAGACTATAAGATGAGCTGAGATCTGAGCTTCGAAGTTGTGTTATTATTATTATTCCCTGTCTGCTCGCACTAGCACCATGAAACGCAGGTAAACAGAATATCATGCACTTTGCATAGTGTATGTTTGTCATTCCAATCATGTGTATATAGTCTGGTTTAACACAAACTCTAGAATTCAATCTTCCATGTCTTTCCAATGCCAACATCGGGTTTCTTCACGACAGCATACGCGGCCTTGCCTGCCTGTTGGGCGTGATACTCCAAGGAAGCGGTAGAAGCCATCTTTGCACCGTCTTCGATGACAGTCACGGACGCCCTCCCTTGCCATTCCTTGGGAGCGTCGACAACAACCACCTTTTCAACCCGGACATTCGCCATGCTCTTCAGGTAATCGGCTGTCTTCGAACCCTTGGTTCCGAGGTCTTCCGACGAGAGGGTAGATTTTTCAAATTTGAAGCGGCGGTGTATGTATCCACCCTGCTCGTAGTTGAACGTCTCCCCATCATCAACATAGAATGTGCCTTCGGCCTTCCCGTTCTTGTCGAGGACGATCACAAGTGTATAAGGGTCCCACTTCATTAGCCCGCTGCTACGACGTGCGCGGTCCTTGCGAGGGATAATATGACCACCCTGCATCAACAACGGGACTTTCTCAATGGGGGCAGGCACCGTATGTCTCTTGCCCGCTCCTTGGTAGACGGTATAATCATAATAATCGTAGTACTTCTCATCATCAGCGATGTAGATGTCTGTGGTGGTGGCACCCTCCGCAACCACAGGTTTGGTCAGCAGGCCAGTAGATCCAAGGTAGAGTTGGTCATCGATGGCAAAGCCTTGTTCGTCCGCCGGCTGGACATAATACTGGGGCCGGACAATGGGCATTCCATTCACCGAAGCTTCATGGAATGCAGTGTACCAGGCAGGCAGCAGTTGATATCTCAAACGGATAGCCTGGGATATGATCGACCTGTACGGCTCAGCGATCAAGTAGGGCTCTCGTCTGCGAGTGTCAATGTGTGCATGGGCACGGAAGAAGGGATACCAAATGCCGGTCTGATACCACCGGGTCAAAAGTTCCTTGCTTGGGTTCTGGAAAAACCCGCCCACGTCGGCACCAGCAAACGGGAACCCGGCAATGCCGTTGTTCAATACCATAGGCAAGGATGCGGCCAGGTGTTCCCAGGTGGCTTGATTGTCTCCCGTCCACATGGCAGATACCCGTTGAGCCCCGGCGTAGAATGATCGGGTCAAAACGAAGGGCCTACGGACCACGCCTTTCTTTCGCTCCAGCAAGGCATTGTATGTTGCGTTGACAAAGGTTAGTCCGTTGACATTGTGCACGTCGCGGTGTTCCCAGTTGCCATAGTGTATATTGTCCTTGGGCATAGTGGTTTCCGGTCCGTTGAAGACGGAGGGTTCATTCATGTCATTCCAAATAAAGACGTTCGGCTGGGTGCCTTTAAATTTGTCGTACTTGAACAAGCCAGTCCACCATTTGATTGCTTCAGGGTTGAAGCAGTCCACCCAGTGAGATGAGCCAGGCCAACACCAGCCGTCGTAGATCTCCCCGTCCTTATTTTTGGTAGCTAGATCCTTGCTCTTTAGCTCTTCAGAGATGGAGTATCCCTCCTTGTTTTTAATGTGCGGATCAATGATCACCACGAGTTTGCGTTCAGAGTCATCAAGCTGCTCTTCCATACCCTTTGGGTCAGGAAAGCTCAGAGGGTCCCAGGTAAAGTACTTCCTGTCATCCGTGTACTCAATGTCGAGCCAAATCACGTCGTAAGGGATCTGATACTTGTCAAACTTGCGATCAACTTCCTTGACATCCTCGTCCGTGACATAGTTCCAACGACACTGATGGTAAGCGATAGCGAATTGTTGAGGTAACTGAGTGTAGCCGGTAAGTTCACCGTAAGTTTTGCTGATCTCTTGCGGAGTGGGACCCAAGAAGACAAACAAATCAATACGTCCCGATTCGGAAAACCAATGGGTTTGAGTGTCTGTCTTCGAACCCACTCCAAGAGAAAGAGGGTTGGGCGAGGACTTCGACTTGACAATGTCGACCCAGGTCTCCGCAGCGTTGAGCCAGAAGACACCCACAGTAGAGTCCTTCTTGTGGGCCTGCATGAACGGGATGGCGCCATAGAGGGTCATGGGGCTGTTGAGCTCATACTCAAAGACGTCCGCATTGTACATGCGATAAGGTTCCGCATGATTTCCATCACCGCCCCTTCAAAATGATCAGCCTTGCGTCGGTAGAGTGGCGGGGACATGTAACACCTACCGAGTTTCCTTCAGAGACATCGAGTCGGCATGCTCTGGGATCCCGAAAACATGGCTGTAGCCAGGGAATGTGATGTCCAGGCCAATACTTTCTGGACCTTTCGGCTTGGAGTCGGTGTTTCCACCAAAAGTTTCCTCCCACCAAGTGCTTTCATCTTGCTGAGATCCTGATTTTTCCTGAACACTGTCGCCCTCTGCCACATCCACCTTTGGCCGCCAGTGTTCCACGTTGAGGTAGCCCTTGTGATTCACTTGGACATGGCTCTGGCCATCGCGTTGAAAATCGACGCTGAACGGCGCATGGCGAATGATCGCCTGAAACTTGTTATTCGGCCCGTACAGTACCTTTGTGAATCCAGTCTCTGATTCTGTGTCCACAGCGGCAGTTTTGCTCGATTCCAAACCACCCACCAGCGCCCATTGCTCTGCTTCGTTGTATCGCTCTTTGCGCACTTGGCTGTTGTGTCGGAGGTCAATTTCGCCCTTCATCCGCTTCTCTTCGTCGACGACAATACGCGTAGCTCCAGACTCCAGGAAAGAAATCACAAGTGGCAGCTTGACTTTCTCATTGGCAGATATTGACTTGAGAATTGTCCCTTGCAATTGGCCATCTTTGAAGTGAATTGAAGAGGGATCGAGTTCATATGGTGAATTCCAAGACGCGCCTTGGGCGGAGACGTCATCTGCGAAAGCTCGGTTCCGCTTACAAAACCCGGATTGAGAGCATTTCTTGAAGTTCTCATGCTTCACAGTAACTGGCAGACTTGGTCAGATGGCGATACCATTGGAATAACTTGAGTGCATAGAGCTCACCTCCGGGTACAACAAGACACCCGATAAGGACGACTAACGCGAGCAATAGCGTCCATCTGGAGAGAGACGAGCTGCTCCGGGCCATGTTTGAGTGAATCGATGCAATCAGAGTCGCTCAACCTCTGAAAGTACCGTAAATTACAAAACTTTCAGTGCTGACCTGCATCTACCAGAGCTAAAGGCCAACACGAACAATCATGAACAGATAACGCAGGTGATGATTCCAGGCTGGCCAGATTGGCAGATCGGGGTAAAGCTAACAGCCAACTCGGGTTAGCGCGGCGCTAGTACGGATAGGACCTAGGCATCCTAAGGTTAGGCATCTCATTATATAATTAGCTCTTGAAACCTGAAACCTGAGGCATACAGGCATCCGGGCTGCCCCTCCTGCCCCACTCGGTCTCGGAGTCTCCTTATAATAATTTCGCCAACTCACCGAAAGTCTACCTCTTCGTCTTTTTCTCTGAGCCGTCAACTACCTCAATTGTTCTTCAGTATCTCCATCCTCTCTTATCAATCTCTCAAAATGTCCAACGAGCAGACGTAAGCTACATTTCCATCCCTCTTCCAAGCTCAATCCCAGGCTTTCCCCTTATTCTTCTCCAACGCTGCTTCGGGGTCCTTTCATCAGTGCGAGTAAAGCTAATCAATTCCTGCAGCTTCATTGCCATCAAGCCCGATGGTGTCCAGGTATGAGGCTATGGCCGTCTTGATGACGTTCAATGGTCTACGCACCTTGAACGAGCACGGAACTGACTTGATCATCGTTTAGCGCGGACTCATCGGCCCCATCATCTCTCGCTTCGAGAACCGTGGGTATGTATTTCTGGGACTCAATGGCTATTGCTTGCGCTAATTTTGCACAGCTTCAAGCTCGTTGCCATGAAGCTGGTCTCTCCTCCCCAGTCCCAGCTTGAGCAGCACTACGCCGACCTCTCCGACAAGCCCTTCTTCAAGGGTCTTGTTTCCTGTGAGCTTCCCTTCCACATCCGAAACTAATGGTTTCTTTCTTTATGAAGGTAACTAACCACTACATATAGACATGCTCAGCGGCCCCATCTGCGCCATGGTCTGGGAGGGCCGTGATGCCGTCAAGACCGGCCGTAGTAAGTTTCCATCAATCGATGTGTTCCAGACATGCGACGAGCATATGCTAATGGTGCGACAATAGCCATCCTCGGTGCCACCAACCCTCTTGCCTCCGCTCCCGGCACCATCCGTGGTGACTACGCTATCGTAAGCTCAATTGAGACCTCAATATCATAGTTTGTCGCTGACATTGCCTTAGGACGTCGGCCGCAACGTCTGCCACGGTTCCGACAGCGTCGAGAACGCCAAGAAGGAGATTGCCCTCTGGTTCAAGCCTGAGGAGCTTATCTCCTGGAAGAGCGCCGCCTTCGACTGGATCTACGAGAAGGCTTAAATTTCTCCGTTCGACCTTTTGTCTGGACGTCTGCAATCCGTTACAGCTGAGGGTGTAGGAGGCAGTGTATGACATACATCAGAGAAGTCCCAGGAGAAAATAAAAATATACAGAACACCTATGGTGCCAATGGCCTCACTTGGCGTCTCGTTTCCTTCGCCGGAATCTGGGAGTAGTGCAGATAATTACCCGTTGCAGAGATTTGCATAGAAGGTTCCATCACAAACTACTTTTTCCCAAGAAGAGCCCCGACGCCCCTGCCTACCGCAGCGAGAACGGATCTCGCAAACCATGGCGTTGCCCATGCACTAGCGACTATCCTTACGGGTAGTAGAGCTTTCGTGATTGCATAGGCAGTCGCGAACTCAAGCACCAGACGAACGCCTTTTCTGTCTTCCGGTCTCAATTGAGATTGACCGGGCGATCCAGTAGTAGAATCATTGCCCGAAGCAGACCCGTCGGACTTCACAATATCCACGTCAGCATCCTCCACCCAACCTTTCTTTCGAAGCCAGCGACCGAATCGTTGGACTCCTTCGTCAAAGCCGCTTTTTGAGGTGAAATCCGGCAACCAATCTCCGTAATGGAACGAAGCGACCAGCCCGAGCAAAGGAACAATGGCTGTAATCTCGTGTAGTATCAAAAAGGACGTTATATATGTACCAGGGGCCCCAGTAGCGGGCTTGTATAGGAGCGTAAAAACGGCGGAAGACGATCATTCAACCTGCGGAGACGAGAGCGGTAGTCATTCGGACCGGCTGTGGGCGGTGTCGCCAGGCCACGCCGCAAGCACGAATTGGAACGCAACGATGGACGAAAAAGACGCGAAGTTGAAGTCGCTAATGAACACCATAAAGCCATCTCACCCGAGCTCTCGACGCCTAGCTAGACACGACTTGGAGTTGATATTGCGAGTTCGATGCAGTAGAGAAGGTTGAAAATGCTGGCTCGTCGACGGACTTTCAGTTCTGACTTCAAAAACAATGGCAGCTAGAGGTCAGTGCCATTTCTGACTCCAGGAGGGACTTAAGGCTAGTCCTTGATTGACGATTCCTCACCATCTCCGACAGACTCGTACTGCAACATCGACGGAGCTTGGACAGGTTTGCCTTGTTTGCATTCTGTACAGCCGTATGCAATGTAGTGGACAAGACTAAGGTATTGTTGCGTATCGGAAACGAGACATTGAAGAATGCTAATTAACAATCTGATGATCCCAAGGCGTAGCAAGTGTAATGGTGTAGCCCCTAGCTTCCTGGAGAGAGAATGAACTGTAAAGGACGTCGCCAACCTTGACCATGGTCGGCAATCGTGCGTGTTTCCGTATCCGTTGATCGGAGGGGCCAAGTCCTTCCCTCCCGCATGCGCTGGCTCAAGTTCTCCATCAACTTCAATTATCCCCGTTATTTTTCTCAACACAGAGGAGAAATTCGGGTCAAGATGGAAAAGATCACAGACAAGATCGCGGCATTGCCGCCAAACGAGAAATACTTTTCTCTCGAGTTCTTCCCTCCCAAGACGCAGATGGTGGGGTATCCCCGCACTCTTCTGACTTTTCTGACGATGCGACCAGTTACTGATGATATTTTGAATATTGTAGGGCTTCTCCAATCTGCAGGCTCGTTTAGAGCGCATGTCACAAGCACTACGTCCCTTGTTCGTTACCGTCACTTGGGGAGCCGGTGGAAGCACTGCCGCCAGGTCGCTGGAGCTCGCAGAAATCTGTCAGCGCCAATTGCAGTTAACAACATGCCTTCATCTAACATGCACGAATATGAGTCGAGCGTTGATTGATGAGGCCTTGGAGGAGGCCAAGGTTCTCGGAATTCGAAACATCCTGGCGCTTCGCGGCGACCCGCCGCGCAGTGAAGAGTACAACATGCACGGAGAAGATGATAGCAACAAGGACTTCACGTTCGCGGTGGACTTGGTTCGATACATTCGCAAGAAGTACGGTGATTACTTCTGTCTGGGAGTTGCTGCGTACCCCGAGGGGCACCCGGCCGATTCTTACCAGGACGTACAGGATCCAGTGAGGGATCTTCCATATCTGGTCGAGAAGACCCTGGCCGGTGCGGACTTCATCATGACTCAGTTGACATACGACATTGAAGCCTACACAAAGTTCGAGGAAATGCTACGGAATCACGAGTCCGGTGCTTTTAAAACCATCCCAATCATTCCTGGGTTGATGCCTATTCACAGCTACAAGATTCTGACAAGAACAACGAAACTGAGTCATGTCAAGATTCCCCCACAGATCATGTCGAAACTGGAAGCAGTGAAACATGATGATGATGCTGTGAAGCGCATCGGCGTGGATGTTCTCAGTGATTTGGTTGAGGCTATCAAGAAGATACCCTGCCCTGGATTCAGGGGCTTTCACTTTTACACATTGAACCTTGAAAAGACAGTTTCTTTCATCATCGAACGATGTGGTTTGATACCTGATTATCCAGAAGACACCGATGCTGTTGTGGATGACGACTACACTACTGCTCCCACTGCAGCTCAGAATCGTTCTCTATCCCGGCGCAGGGCTTCGTCCGTTAACTCACTTCCACATAACCGTGTCATTGTCGACAGGTTACAGGTGCCATCAGACGGGTCATCGAGAGCATCGACACATGAGGCGCCCGCCGCCAGCGCCGGAATGCCTGCGATGCCTCCAGATCGCAACACAACGCTCCAGATTTCGGAGGGTCAGGGAGCGCTCGGCAGAGAAGCGACGTGGGACGATTTCCCTAACGGTCGTTGGGGTGACGCTCGCTCGCCGGCTTTCGGAGAGATTGATGGGTACGGCCCTTCACTACATGTCTCTGGCGCTGTCGCGCGGCGCATCTGGGGCTATCCTGTGTCCCGCAAAGACATAAGCGCACTATTCCGTCGCCATGTCTCTGGCGACCTCTATATCGTTCCCTGGTCCGAAGGCGGGGCGGAAGAGAATAGCAGTGGCTTGAATGCTGAGACAGAAGTCATCCGGCCCGAGCTACTGAAGCTCATTGACAGCAAAGGCTGGTGGACTCTGGCATCCCAACCGGCTGTCAATGGCGTCCGAAGCGACGATCCAACCTTTGGATGGGGTCCTCCGGGCGAAGGATTCGTCTTTCAGAAGCCATTCGTTGAATTCTTCTGTCCTAGCAAAGACTTCCAGACCGTTCTCAAACCACTCTTTGCAAAGCACGGACATGAGAAGCTCGCATGGTTTGCAACCAACGTGAAGGGCCAATTCGAGTCCTCTCTTCCCGCTGACCCTGCGCATGCCGATACCATTGAGATGAATCCCAACAACGTTAACTCTGTGACGTGGGGTGTCTTCCGCGGCAAGGAGATAGTTACTCCAACCATCATTGAGGAAGTCAGCTTTAGGGCCTGGGGCGAAGAGGCGTTCCGTATCTGGGATGAGTGGCGCCGGGTCTATCCCCGTGGCACTCCGACCGAGCGCCTCCTTGAAGAAGTCAAAAACGACGTTTGGCTTGTGTGTGTCGTGGGCCAGGACTTTGGAGCCGGTACGGAAAACGGGTCGGAAGAAGAACAGCAGGAGACCAAGTGGATGTGGAATGTGTTGATCAACAGCCAGTGAGGTCTTCAAGTACCGGGTTGCACGACCATTGTACACTCGACCATGACAAGGGAAAATTTTCGCGATGTTCATATCATGTTTGCTCGTCCACTACCCGGATCAGAAATATAGTTCTCTTGTACTTATGTGTGAGATGGACATAGCATGATATAGAAGGAATGAAGTGTGAATATCTAATGACATGAATGCAGTTTTAAGATTGTCCAGACTTTTCCTTGGACCATTCGCAAGTCAGTCGATGTGTGGGCGATTGTAGTACGTTACCACCGTCCTCGAAATGACAAATGCCTCAATTCTAACAAGACCAACGCCATAGCGCCAGAAGCCTTCATTACGCTACTTTTTGGACCTCTCCCTTTGACAGGACAATATATCATGACTGAAAAGAAACCACACCGTATCTGGATACTCTAAGAGGATGTTTTCTGCGCAAAGCCATGCGCTTCTAGTCCATCAGCACCCGTATCTGGCGTGGCAATAGACGATTCCGACTCTGCGAATTTCTCGGCCGCGTCGTCGAGACGACCATAGACGCGGGGAAGCGTCGGGGTTGGTGAGGCCCAGCAGCGGGGAGCTGGTGGCCGCGGAGCCTGTATTTGGAAGTGTTAGTTGATCAGGGTCAGAAGATGGTTGGTCCTATGCAAATGCGAGAGTTATTACGCACCTAGGGCCCTCGCCGGTTTTCTCGGGCAATTCTGGGGTGTAAACTCTGTGAAACATGTCTGCATCTGTGTCGAAGGTTCCTCGCTCGATGCTCGCTCTAATAGCGGAGAAGAACTTGTCCACGGTGTGGTGGTTATGGATCTGGAGTAATGTCCATGCGAGCATTTCCTTTGCGGATAGTAGGTGGTGGATGTAGGCGCGGTGGTGGTTTTTGCATGTGTAGCACTCGCAGGATGTGTTCAAGGGTGCGGTGTCTACTTTGAATGACCTCGACCACAGGTCGAATGCGAGGGGTCGAGGTTCGCTTGCGGTCGTCTCTGCTGTGGACGGGGCTGGGAAGGTGAAATCCAAGGCTATCCCCGCGTCCGAGGTAGCCTCCACGAAAGGAATGGTGAAGATATCGGCGCCGAGAGATACCTGACGCAGAATGTCGTGTGGTGTAGCTGGATCACTGAAGAGTAGTCTGGGGAGGTTGCCTAATTTCTCTGGGAGAATCGATAGCGACGCTGACTCGTGCAGTGCGAGACCGGAGATGCGAGGGCGTAGCTCATGCTCAAGATCAGCCAGGTAGAGCGATTGCTGCGTATTCTCAAGCGGCAGCACCGGCGCAAAGTATGCTGATTTTGACCGACTCTCTTCTGGGACTGTTTGACCATAGAGCTGCTCCGTTGCATGCGAAGTGAATGCATGAGTTCTGTCAGCCATCTTTACCCTCCTCTTGGTGCCGGGAGTTTGTCCCTGGGCCAAGTCTGCTAATCCCACCACGATGTCCGGCCGTAGCTTCCGCACTGCTTCCACATATTCACCAGCCTCTAGCTGCCTGAACCCGACCGACGTCAATATGGAGATCGAGTTAGGCGTGTTGTTCGGGGACAGGCTATCGAAGGCACCCGTCGCGGGCCAAGAATGAGCAGGAAATCCTCAGGAACACTGATGAACTTGCGCAAGGCAGATTCATGCGGCGCAGCTGGTACATTGTATATCGGCGGTCTTCCATTCCGGAGCGGTCCTGTATTTGCTTGCTTTTCTATGACTGATATGAGCCCCGGTGGGCATCGAACATCGTCAGCGTCTATTTTCCTTGCTTAATGCACGTCAACGCGGACATGAACCTACAATCCTCAAGACCAATGAACAAGCTGCCGACCACAGTCTGGTCGCGCATCACATCATGCGCAATATGAGGTACAGCACCTCGCGACGTGAGCGGAATGTAATTGGGCGTCGGGATGGCTTTTCTGCCCGCAACCGCCAAATTTCCCAGCCGCGGGGCTAGGATCGGGGCAGCTGCAGGACTGAGAAGAGTGAAATTGACCATCTCATCTGGAGACTGCGACGATGCTTCAGGTGAGCTCATGACGATCGACAAGAGCGAGCTCGTGCCAATGTCTTGCGTTTGCGACTGGTGATCGTGTGAGATACAAAGGAAGCTGGAGCTAGACGATCGACGATACTAGTTGATGTTAGCAACCGATAAGTCCGCTAGACCACAGTTTGCTTTGTTTCTTCCACCGCGTTTTGTGCCACTCGCATCAGCTCAATCCTCCACTGTTCTCAATCACAATCAGACAGTATTGAATTGACGCTTCAATTGATATTACAATAAGCAATTCGAACAAGATGGACAGTGAACGGAAACGTGGAGCTCTCATCGTTGTCGAAGGCCTGGATAGAGCCGGCAAATCCAGCCAATGTGAACGTCTACGTGACTCGCTACAAGCATCAGGGCACTCGGTGAAGTATATTCGGTTTCCAGGTATCTATTGCTCTTCAATTGTGTAGAGAGGCGCATTTTTCTGATCACGCTTTAGATCGAACAACTCCCATTGGACAGATGATAAATAGCTATTTACAAGGCCAGTCCCAAGCGGATGACCATTCGATTCATCTCCTCTTCTCAGCCAATCGCTGGGAGATTGCGAAGAGCATTGAAGATGATATAGCCAACGGCATCAGCGTCATAGTAGACCGCTATTCCTACTCCGGTGCTGTTTACTCGGCTGCAAAGGGCAACCATAATCTATCCCTGGAGTGGGCATGGCAGCCAGAAATCGGCCTGCCGCAGCCGGACATGTGCCTCTTCCTCCGCATATCCCCCGAAGAAGCAGCGAAGCGTGGCGGATTCGGCGTCGAGCGCTATGAGAATGAAACTATGCAAAACCGCGTGCGCGAGCTATTCCAAACGCTCTTTGACCTCCAGCAGGGTGATTATATTCACACAATTGATGCCGGAAGGTCCTTCGATGCAGTGTCGCAGGATATTATGAAGATAGCGACAGACTCTATCGAGAGACTTGATGCCATTGGGCCTTTGAAGAGGCTGGGACCACTCTCAAACTAAGGCAATGGCTCATGTGTCCGAGCAGAACTTGAAAAAGGGAACCGCTTTCACAGAATTTGAGCGTCGTCGCACTCGCTGTCCTCGATAACAGTTTCTAGTTTCGGGGCAGCTTTCGAAAAGGTCTTCAACCGAAGATCCGTCTCTGAGTCTGACTCTGATGCCAATCCCTCCCACCAGTCTTCATCCAGAAGAAATTCATCGGCGGCATCCTGACCGGAACGGTCATCTAAATCGACTGATACGGATCTTCGACTCGACGGTTCAACCTTGTCAGTCACGACACTTTGTTTTCGATCGGCTCTTCTCTTCCGTTTCAAACTTTCCAGCAGCTCTTGTTTCGCGCGACTCCGGAAGCTCAATTCCTTCATCATCAATGGCCATTCGACAGTGGCCTCACATGCAGGACAAATCCCATGCCTTGGAACGAATTGATTTGGCTCTTGAGACGCATCAATGAACTTCCTCGATAGGCATAGTAGATGGCAAGTACAGTGGCATTCCGCCTGTGGGCAGACCGTTGTCAACTCTTCCTTTGGGAGGATTTGCCCCTGGCATACTTGACAGCGCACATCTTTTGGGTCGTCGAGAAGGAATATGGCTTTCTCTATATAGTCTCGGATTGTAGCATAGGTGATCTTGGCATCTTCGACGCCACCAAATCTGGTGGCATTCCCATCGGCGTGTGCGCCGATCTCAGGACAACTCCCGTCCAAGACGACCTTGACAGGGCTGCGAAGACGAACATCAACTCGATCATACCAGGCTTTCCAAGATTGGTAAATGTCACCAGAGAAAAACCGTATTTTCAAAGGCCAGTGAGAGAAGTATGTCGATCTCAGCAGGCGATGCAAATCGGCGAAATGGGTGTCCAAGGACCTCGGGGGCCGACGACGTCCTTTGCTTTTCTTCGGTTTCCCCCTGTCTTTGGGCTTAGCCGAGTCGCAGTTAGAATCTAGAGACTCCAGATCCTCAGATTTTGCTTTCCTCTTCCTCCTGGGCTTGACCTCCGCAGAAGCCGAGCTTTCTTCCTCAGATCGTAAGTGGCGCGAGTACCACGGATTTTGCCAAGCCCATCTTTGAAAACGTTAGATTCTGCACGCAAGATAAAATAGGTAGGGACGTACTCAAACTGTAGAGCTGCGAGCCGGCTCGTAAAACCTTCGACCACCAGCACCATCTCCCACGGCCTCAGCTTCTCGGCCGCAGTCCGACGAGCGCCCCCCTTGACGACGCCATTGTGCTGAATGAGTCGTCTTGCAGGGTTGGGCGTAGATCCGATATAGAGAGAGGCACGTCGCACAGTCGAGCGGAGTAGATAGCAACAATAGAAAATTGGGATAGGCCTTGAATGCTCTATTTGGATGTCATCCATGGCACTGTTGTCAGTGTTTAGATGTCGGAGGCAACATCTGATAAACAGGTAGTTTGGCCCTAGTACTCCGTATTTCAAAGCCTTCCAAGCTGAGGTTGCGGGTCAACATTCCTTTTTATTTAGTTCAAACAACAATCGTGACCAATAGCGCTAAATACGCCAGTCTTGATGATATCGGGTTTTGTTCTTCTGTTCCAATATCTTGTTATGGTCCAACGTCAACAAAGGAAATCACATGATCAGCGCAGATAAGCATTACCTCTTCCGCCTAAGGCATCAAATCACTCAAACTACACTAAATGTCAATATTACGCATGAACAGCTGGAAATGACAAGAAGAAAGCCTTTTAAAATCTAGCAGAAATCTGCACTGCCAACCTGCAGGTAATTACTATACACGTGTAGAGTACTACCTAGTGCCTTATAGCTCTATAGCATTACGGAAAGCTGCCTGCAGATTCATCCAAGCTCTGGGTTACCAGGGATAGGCTCGAAATGATGAGATGTAAGAACAAAGAGCCTCCAGTGAGCCGGTAAAGATGACAATAAAGATGTCCTTCACAAAGCAAGAGATTGCCGCGCCCCAAGGCGATGATATTGTCATTAAGTCTGAAGAATAATAATGATGATTTGTGGTCGCATGCGGTCCATGGTTGGCATTTCATGTGAGCTTTGGCGCTAGTCGAATCTAAGTAACGCAGGGAAATACCTCTTGTAAGGATGCAGCGATGAAACCACCTCATGGACCTTAGGCAGCTGGGGTCACCCGAGGCTTCGAGTTTTATATGGAGTGGATAGATTACAGCCTCGTACTCCGCCAGATATCACTTAAGTCCTCCGTATCGATGGCTAATAAGCTACCTTAGGGAACAGGGAGGATCCATCTCTTATCTGCAGTGGCCAACTGTGGCCCAACCCGGTACCTCGACAGTGAGGTATGTATCGAAGTTACTTTACCTCGACTTAAGGTACAGACCTACATGGTAAATTAGGTATGGTTGGTACGGGGTATGTAGGTCCATACCTCAGGTATGTATGTTGTGTAGGTACCAAGTGTCCTCCGTTGACCAGGGCCGATGTGGGCAGGTGTGCATGGGGCTAATATAGACTACGAAATTAACCGCAGAAAGTGGCTTAATCTACGGGCCACTCTTCATGCGAAGAGCATCTGAGCCTGATACCTCTCTAGCCGATGGTTAGACTCCATTAGTCAACGTTGGACGTCTTGCCGGTCATTTAAGTTGGTACCTCAAGTCCTGGACTACCTCTCCGTTCTAGGTTACCTTACCGTCCGTTTGCGGCATATTGTAGGTATGATACGTAATGTAATGGTTGGTATTGTTTCCCAGCTGTAATAATTGAGGTATTACTCGTACCTTTACCCTTTTAGTTCAGTATCTTTCTGTATCCTTGGAAGGGTTCGCTACCAGCCTTGCTATATCAGGTCTCATTCTCACTCGGGCCATTACTACACTACTATGAGGCTGCGCAAAGCCATGATCTCCCTTTCCGCTTCGGGGCGTCGTCCATCTCAATCTGCAGTAATTTTTTACTTTTTCTGCTTTGCCCTCATAGTATTCGTCGCTTGTCTCATTATTGCTATCTTTTTTCTTTTGTCTTTTCTTTTGACCATCTGGAGACCGTACTTCAATTTTTCCTTTTCCTTAGTCGTCCTTCTCTCTTCTCCGAGTTGTAGTATTAGTATATACGTCGTAGTAGCAGGAGGTGGATAGGTATAGATACACTACCTGCACCTGCCTGACCAGCTCACTACTATCTAGTAGGCGATAGTAGTGAGATGTGTTTTAACGACTCTACGCTTCGTCGTCTCTAATTAGTGCTAACTTCACCTTATTATTGATTGATCGATTGGGCTCGAGATTAGTAGACTGTTTCCAACCACCGTACTCCGCTGTCCTGACCTGCTTGTTCCCTCTTCCGAGATTCTCCACACTAAACCCTCCCGGGACCATCTCGGCCTCGCCTTTACTTCTCACTCTCTTTCTCTCTTCCTTCGCTCGCTCTACTAGTGTCAAGTACTATTATTTCTCCGTCTCAATCATCACCATTTGTCCCCTATTTGCTATCCATTTTCCTATTCAGAGGACACTCACTATTATACAATAACCACGGGGACAATTATCGTTTGTGTTCGACTCTTCCTTTCATCTGATCTAGTCCTCAATGCGCCTTTCGCATCGGATTCCCTCTCCCTTCCGTCCGCGATAAATCACGCGCAACACTACCTCTTGTCCCCCGGCTAGCTGTCGTTACCTAGAGATGGTGGCTCCGGCCTCTACGGGCGCGATTTCGACAGGCGTACAGCCTCAAGCGAACCGTCAGCCCACTCGATCCTCTAGCACCCACCCGTCGCATTCCCACAATGTACCCTTGAGCGCTCGAAGGTCGACACCCCTCGACTTATCCACGGTCGAACGACGAGGACAACCCAATGCTCCTCGAGAGCCCAGCAAACGAATCCGTCCCCATGGCTTGCAAGAAGCTCCGACGTTCCGTCCGACAGAGGAAGAATTCAAGGATCCCTTGGAATACATCCGCAAGATAGCGCCCGAGGGCAAGAAATATGGAATCTGCAGAATCATTCCACCAGAGAATTGGCAGCCGCCGTTTGCGATTGACACAGAGGTATGCGAGTTGTAATTCTCATCCCTGTGCTCGCTTCTACACACCCTGTTCCCTTCTGTAATTCTTTGAGGCCACAGGATCACCATCGGGGAGATCCGATGCTAACACCCACCGTGTTTCAGCGATTTCACTTCAAGACACGTCGGCAGGAGCTCAACTCGGTTGAAGGAGGTATGCCCCCGCGTTCAGCCACTTTCGCTGCCGGTGCAACTCCGCAGCCTAGTTCTGACCCGAACTCAGGAACCCGTGCAAACTTGAATTATCTCGACCAGCTGGCCAAGTTTCACAAACAACATGGCACCAACCTGAACCGATTCCCTAGCGTGGATAAGCGTCCCTTGGACCTATATAAGCTCAAGAAGGCCGTCGAAATACGTGGCGGCTTCGACCAAGTCTGTAAAATGAAGAAATGGGCAGAGATCGGGCGTGATCTTGGGTACAGCGGCAAGATCATGTCCTCGCTGTCAACCTCGCTCAAGAATTCGTACCAGAGATGGCTTCAGCCTTACGAGGAATACCTCCGTGTGGTGAAACCGGGAGTGCAGCAGCAACTGGAGCTAGAACATGGTGGCCCCTACACACCGTCTCCGAACCAGTCGCCTATGGCGAAGAAGCCCGTCTTGTACGACCACATCACACCATCTGCTACGCCCCAAGCTCCTCCGAGTATTCCGGCCGCTGGTGGTCCCCATGGTACTCCAAAGGAAATTGAAGCCACTCCTGATAAGTCCACCCCTCCGGTCGAAGCCGCGGCGCCTCGGCCTGTCACGTCCGGCTTCACTCCTGTCACGTCCGGCTTCACTCCTGTCAATGCCGGTGGCGGCGGTTTTACTGCTGTCAATCGGTCTCCGTCCTTCGTCGCCGTGAATAGCGGCCCAGTTGTCAAGAAAGAGGCTGAGACTGGCTCACTTACGCCGCAAAGCGTTGCTGAACACCCTCAAAGTTCGACGCCTGTCCCCAATGGCAATGGAAGCCATCCCATGAAACGCGCCATCAGCCATGAAAGTGGCTCTCAGACTGAAGGTGGAGAAACAGACGCAAGTGGGCGAAGGAGCAAGCGCCTTCGAAAGGGTAAGCATATGTTTTATCGACGTTTGTCGTGGTTTGATTTGTCTGACTTTCCTCTAGATGCACCACCACCCACCGTCGCGGGTTCACACATGAGCCTCCTCCGTCCTGCTCCGCCGCGGGCACGGAAAAGCGACAGTCGAAAAACCGGTGATGTAAGCATAAAATCTTGGGTCGTTGAAATATGTAACACTATTGACTCTGCTTAGAAATGCGAAGTTTGTGGCAAGTCCGAGGATCGACCTTCGATACTTGTGTGCGACAGTTGCGACCAGGGTTACCACAGAAACTGTCTTGATCCTCCTTTGACGACTATCCCCGAGTATGACTGGCACTGCCCCAAGTGCCTGGTCGGCACAGGCGAGTTCGGGTTTGAAGAAGGCGGAGTCTACTCGCTCAAGCAGTTCCAAGAGAAAGCAAACAGCTTCAAGAAGAATTATTTCGCCTCCAAAATGCCTTTTGACCCGGTGCTGAATACTCATCGACGAGAGTCGGAGGACGACGTGGAACGCGAATTTTGGAGACTGGTCGAGAGCTTGACTGAAACCGTCGAGGTCGAGTATGGTGCCGACATCCATTCGACCACGCACGGCAGTGGCTTTCCTACAATTGAGCGCAATCCACTTGATCCCTATTCGACAGACCCCTGGAACTTGAATGTCCTTCCTTTCCATGGCGACTCACTTTTCCGTCACATAAAGTCAGACATCTCGGGTATGACAGTTCCTTGGGTTTACGTGGGCATGTGTTTTTCCACATTTTGTTGGCACAACGAGGATCACTATGCCTACTCCGCCAATTATCAGCATTTCGGCGCAACCAAGACTTGGTATGGTATTCCTGGATCCGACGCAGAAGCATTCGAACAGGCCATGCGCCAAGCGGTTCCAGAGCTTTTCGAGAGTCAGCCGGATTTACTTTTCCAGCTCGTCACTCTGATGCCACCCGACCAGCTTAGAAAGGCCGGTGTAAACGTATACGCTCTTGATCAACGGGCTGGACAATTTGTCATTACCTTCCCCCAGGCATACCATGCTGGTTTCAATCACGGATTCAACTTCAATGAAGCCGTGAACTTCGCCCCTGCGGATTGGGAGCCTTGGGGCGCAATGGGGGTCGAGAGACTCCAGGCTTTCCGCCGCCACCCGTGCTTCTCCCACGATGAACTGCTTCTGACGGCAGCCGCTCGGGATACTTCGATTACGACGGCTAAATGGCTAGCCCCGGCTCTTCAACGGACATGTCACCGAGAGGTTGCAGAGAGAGCAACATTCATCCATCGACATCGTGAAATAGCACCGCACAACTGCGCACTTGGTTCATCAGTCTCCTCAGCTTCTGGTGAATGCCAACTGAAGTTTGTGATTGAGGAAGAAGATCTTCCAGAAGATGACTACCAGTGTCAGTATTGCAAGGCGTATACATACCTGACGCAGTTGCGTTGTCACAAGTCCGGCAAGACAGTGTGCCTGCTGCATGCGGAGACTTTTGATTGCTGCGGAGACTCGCCCTCTCAGCGGCTGTTAGGCCCAGACCATACGCTGCGTTACAGGATGAGTGATGACACACTGAAAGCCCTCGTGCAGAAGGTCCAGGAGCGTGCCAGGATCCCGGAAGCGTGGGGGAGAAGCTTGACAAGGTTCTGGAAGATGAGCCGAAACCCCAACTGAAGGTCCTTCATAGCCTACTAAGCGAAGGTGAGAAAATCCCATACCACCTGCATGGTCTCCAAGATCTCGCGGCCTTCGTCCAGCGCTGCGATAAGTGGGTTGAAGAAGCAACCAACTACATCACCCGGAAGCAGCAAAACCGGAGGAAAAACGAGAAGGCTTGGCGCAAGAGTACTTCTAAGGCCGCGCAGCTGGAGGAACGTGATCGTGAAGTTCGCAGGATAGAAAACATGTACGCCCTTCTTGCAGAGGCTGATAAACTTTCCTTCGACTGTCCACAGATGGCGGCTCTGGAAGAGAAAACCCGCGAGATCGAGAAATTCCGCCAGGACGTTAACGTTGCCCTTCTGAACCCCCATATACGGTCGATCCAGGAAGTGGAAGAGTTGGTGGAATCGGCTCGCAATTTCAATGTGGAAATACCGGAAGTGGAAGGATTGGAGCATATTCTACGACAAATGAGGTGGACTGATGAAGCGCGTCGCAAGCGTGATCAGTACATGACTCTTAAGGAATGTCAAGAACTCGTCCAGGCTGGCGAACAATTGGGACTCTCCGAAACCAACGAACATCTCAGCCACTTCAAGGAGTTGTGCCGGCACGGTGAGACTTGGGAAGCGAAAGCGAAGGAGTTGATGTCTGTAGAATCGGTTCACTATCAACAACTCGAAGCGTTGTCTGCGCAGGCCCTACGCTTCCCCGTCTCTCCTGAAACGCTCTCGGCCGTTGACGCGATATTGACCAAACAGCGTGAAGCGCAGAAGAAAATACAGAGTCTATATGAGCGGAGCAAGAATCCAGACTTCAGAAAGCGTCCAAAGTATAAAGAAGTCCGTGAACTGATGGATTCTCTGGAGGCATTGAATAGCCGGCCCACGGGAGCAATTGACCTGGAGCGTGAGCAGAAACGTCACGAAGACTGGATGCGAAAGGGGAAAAAACTATTCGGGAAAGCCAACGCCCCTTTACACATCCTGAAGTCTCATATGGAGTATGTGGAAAAGAGGAATTCCTATTGCTTTGATTTGGAAGATCGCTGCCGGCCACCTGTGGAACCCTCATCCCGAGATAACACCCCCGACGGTCTTTTGGAGAACCACACCACGACAACCACCAGCAGCAGCATGTGGGGTGGTGGGAAGTCTCGAAAGCGGGATGTCTTCTGCATTTGCAGGCATTCCGAGGCTGGGATGATGATTGAATGTGAGGTCTGCCATGAGTGGTGAGTGTATACTTCTTTCTTACCTGAAGCTGCAAGCCGGCTGACCTGGGACATGTAGGTATCACGGTAAATGCTTGAAGATTGCAAGGGGCAAAGTCAAAGAGTTTGACAAGTATACTTGTCCTATCTGCGACTGGCGTCAGAAGATTCCCCGAGATGCTGCTCGCCCCAAGCTCGAGGATCTCCAGGATTGGCAGGCCGAAATCCCAGGCCTCCCTTTCCAGCCTGATGAGGAACAAGTCTTGGAGAATATCATCAACCAAGCAACTACCTTCCGTGATTTTATACAGAGCTTTACCAATGCGGCCTGCACAACGACGGAAGAAGTGCCTACGTTAATTTTCTACCTGCGCAAGATCGAGGGCGCCGAGGTGCTGTTGGCGTATGAGACGAATTTCTTCCGCCAAGAGATCCATAAATGGGCACCTGTTGCGCCGGAGCCGCCACCAATCCTGGAGCAGTCACTGTCCACGCGCAAACCACGCCCGACAAAGCAGCAGAAAATAATGGCGCAGTTAGGCGTCGAGCGTCCAGAAGATCTTCCTCCTCATCTGCGTACTAAGCAACCGAACCATGCGAAGCGAAAGTCTCTCGAATCGCAGACTCCTCGACCTGCAGTTCTACAGCCTACACCTCATACTCCTGGTGAAGACTCCAATCGCACCGGCCCAGCTTTGACTCCCATGGCGGATGCACAGAATCCCCCATATCCTTTCTCTGCCAATTACTCTCTGCCTGCTAGCGACTCTACTCCGGCATTTGCACCTGGAGCGTCTGCATTCCTGCCGCATGTTTCAGCGCACTCTCCTTCATTCCCTCCGCGATCTCCATCACCGCATCATGGGCTCGACAGCGCTCTGTTCAGCTCTCCTCGCTTTAATCGAGATCCTACCGACCCTCCAGTGGTTGACGTTGACAATCAGGACCCTTTTAACAGCAGTCCTCGACACGATCTGGATGATGTTTTCGCGGATTTGACGAACCAAGATGCGGAGCCCGAGCCAGAACCCGAGCCGATGGAGAACACGCACGCTAACGAAGCATTGGAGGCCCTCGATGCAAGTAATGGCGGGGACCACTCTGACGCCATGCAAGACGAGTCTCCTGGTACTGGAATAGATGGTGACATGAACGGCCAAGCCGACGCCGGAGACACGACAGAGAGTTCTTGATATGACCGTACAAAATGTTTTCACGAGTTGAAGCGCTGTTTGATTATATTCCTCCATCCGGCATCCTTTCTGATTCCACAGATATCTATCTCCTTTCCACACCTGGATTTACGCCGACCATACGGGGACGTGAAGTCTCCACGGGGCTTGTTTTCACTTTTTAGAAGGGCATTCTTGCGGCGTTTACATCGGAACCGGCGACTTGTTGCGGCGTTTGTTATATGCCGGTTCTTTTTTCTTTTCCTCTTTTCGCTGATGACTCCTCTGCTTGTTGATTTTCCATTTAATGATGCTCTTTTGAATGCTTCATGTGCTCTGTACGTTAGTTGCTGCTTTTGCGCATGGTGGCGCGTATGGTGTATGAGGAGGGCGGGGAGTTGGGTCCTTTTCTCATCTGTGTCGTTTATTACTTTTCAGTGTCTTCATGGTTCTATATACTCTTACGGCCCCGCGGAGGCTGATCCCTGATGGATGACGAGTGAAACCACGTTGTTTCTGTGATGCTAACATCCTTCAGCCTCTCTGTTTCTTCGCGCCGATTGCTCCTTTGGGCGCGTTCGATGTAATACTACCCAAAACACCTTATTTGTATTTCTTATCAATAGAATCAAAGTTCTAATCTACTGTTTAATCCCTTGCCGCTATGGTTCAACCATGTCTGCATAGGCGCTTAACGCGGCCTGTCCTCCAGTGTGGATGAAAAGCACATTCATGAAGTCGGGGCGTTCCCGGTCTCCCGGACGAAGTGACCAGTCTTTTGCCAGGTCCCCTTGCTGTACCCAGTGCGAGAGTCCACGTACGACTTTTGAGGTGTATACGGGATCGAGCATTATTGCTTCCCGTTTCGCCATCAAGTCCAGTGCGGTGCTTGTCTGTGTATCTAGAACACCATATGCGGTGCCAGCGAACCGATCATCAAGCCGAACATCCTCCACGGAAATGTCCTTTTCGGCATCCAACCCAATAAGGGCAGCTGCGCGACGCGCAAACGTGAGCACACGTTCCCCATGGTACTCCCGAGGCTTGGTAGGCGAAGTCAAGATCCCAATGACCTTGCGAGGTGGTTTACCCAACCCGGTCCTGCCTTCCTCCTTCTCCAACAGCTTAAACCCGGCGATCAAACCACCCACTGTACTACCACTCCCGCAAGCGACGAAGATATAATCAAAGCGCCCACTCCCATCCAAATTCTGGGTCTGTTCCTGCATCGCAATCTCAAACGCACACCGCGCATACCCCAATCCACCAAGAGGATGCAGACTCGCCCCGGAGGGGATCCAATACGGCGCCTTTCCCTGCGCGCGTAATTCCGCCAGAATCCCAGGGATTGGATCCTCCTCTCCGTCTGCGGGGACAGTCGACGACTCAAGCATCCTCACCTCCGCCCCGAGGAGACGGACGACTTGCGGGTTTCCCGTGCGCAGGAACGAGGCTTTATCGGTTGAGGCGGCTAGGCCGCCGCCTGTGTCTTTGTGGAGGACGACGACTGCCTCGAGGCCGAGTCGGTTCGCTACCGCGGCGACCTGCACGGTGTGGTTGCTCTGGATGGCACCCTCGGTGACGAGGGTTGGTGGGGGTCCATTGGGGGCGCTGTGAGAGGCCCGAATGTCGGGAATGATGTATTCGAGCTTGCGGTATTTGTTCCCTGCGCAGGCGAGTGGGGAGGAGTGGTCTTCTCGTTTGGTGTAGACGGAGATATAGGGTGTTTTGTTCCTGTTGTTACTGCTGTTGTTGTTGAGGTATGTGGATAGGAGTGTGAGAGGGTGAATTGGGGAAGGATGAGGGTATAGCAGAGGGTATCGAGGAATCTGAGCAAATGCTGCCGGTAGAGGGACTGCCATCTCAAGGGTAGATGTAAGAACGTATGTATTTGGATTAGTTGTGGATATTGACCGAGATATACCCCTCTATACAGTGCTGTTTATGCACAGAAAGGTATCTAAATAGTTGATTAGTTGACTGAGCGGCCATATACGCAGGAATTGAGCCTACCATGACAATAACAACATCAGGAATATGTACAATCATCCAGAACTGATGCCGAACCTGGCATTGGAAGGTATCTTGGAGCGTTTGGATACTGTGTTGACCAGTTGATTGCTGACCGGGCGGTGTCGTTTTGCCGATGATGTCAATCATCACGAGCTTCCCTTTTCGGACTTTATTGACTTCCACAAAATCCCACTGCAATTGAGAGCAGGATGGCTCGCTCCCCGCCCTCTTTGCAGAGCCTATTACGGTTTTTGAAGCAGGCGCGTCAGACACACCTAAGTTTCATTTCTGGAGCGTTGTCAACCGCCTCGCGGACAGAGACTCCCATCTACGTGGTGGGAAATCCTTCTGCCGATCTTGACTCCGCCATCTCCGTCATTGTCTACTCTTACTTTGCTCATAATCGCATCCCAATTGACTGCCCTCGACCTCATATTCCCCTGATAAATTTACCAAATGTTCCCTCTGGTCCAGAACTGCGCAGACTCCGTCCAGAGTTCGTAAAGGCTTTCTGCCTCGCTACTACAACCCCCTCAGTTGAGGGAGAGGACGTATGGGATGAGACCCCCGAATCAGCAGGGAGGGTCCTCCACGAACACGTTCTCACCGTTGCAGACTTTGCAGCCCATCTAAGGCAATACCATGCTGAGCTCACGGACCATCGGATGACCGCAGATGCCACACTCCTGGATTGGAACGCACTACCCCACCGAGCGCCCGACGGCCAACGGGGAAAGGGATCGATAGATGGTTTGCCCTCCGTTGACTTCTGCACGGTGGGCTGCATCGACCACCACGTGGTCGAAGGCTTCCTCCCGCCCGCAGAGTCCCTCCCGCGCGGTCAGCCGCTGCTTGTGCGGCCCGCGGGCTCCTGTACTTCGCTTGTGGTCTTGACACTGCGAGAGCTGGACCTCTGGCAGGCTAACACTGAAGACAACGCCACCTCTACTGAGACGATGCAGCTCACCAAGCTCGCCCTAGCTCCTATTCTCATTGATACGACCAATCTCACGGCCAAGGACAAAGTCACCGACGCCGATACAGACGCAGTACACTTCCTGCTCTCCCAAATTGACCAGTGCAAGTACACACGCGGCTCAAGCTGGGACCGGGACGCCTTCTACAAGCAGATTCTCCACGCAAAGCAAAACAGCCTCGAGTTACTCACCGTAGATGAGATCCTCGGCCGAGACTACAAGCAATGGACCGAGACGGCCCGCCAGGACTCCAGTTCCATTCAGATCGGCTTCTGCTCGATGGTCAAGTCAATTCCGTGGATTGTGCGGAAAGCGGGCAGCCCGGAGGCGTTCCTGGATGCCCTGCAGGCATTTGCAAAGCGCCGCGAACTAGGGATCGTGGTGGTCATGACGGCGTTTACCTCCACTCAGGACGGCAGGTTCTGTCGCGAGTTGGTTGCCTGTGCTCTACACGATGGGGCGGCGGTTCAGGCGCTGGAGGTGTTTACTGCGCAGGCCAGCTCGCAGTTGGGGTTGCAGGAATGGAACTCGGTCGAGGATGACTCTGAGGATTATTCGCAGGCTATCAGGTCTGCTTTTAACAGCGATGCCCCGGTATGGAGGCGTATCTGGCTTCAGAATGATGTGACCAAAAGCAGGAAACAGGTCGCTCCGTTGGTGAGAGGTGCCGCTACAAGTCAATAAGAGATTCCATGAGTCTGGAATTTGCATCCATGGCAAGGTTCTTGATGGCAGTTGGCCACCTTGTCCGTCGAATGTTGAATGTCTTATTTCACACAATGATCAATTCCCAAGGTCTCAAAGGTCTGCACATGCAAAGAGGAAATCTATGATTTGGCTTGCCGCGCCTGCGACAAGCATGCTCAATTCAAATTCACACAACATGATGGATGCACATACAGAATGATAAAGAAAAAAGAGGTCTTACATGCCAACACCGCTCCCCATGACCGTTGTCCTATTAACTCCGAACACAGAAACGCAAGTACGTTTACATCAGTAGTCCCATCAAAAGAATGGAAATGTAGAAGAAAATGAAAAACCAGATGCAGCAGATGAACAAATGCCATGCTCCGACCCGGTGTAGCCGATGCAAATGCAACCATGGCGTAAAGAGAAATACAACAAGAAGCTGGCCAGATGTGAATTGGCTCCTGGATTGGGCGAAGGGTCATTCAACATATCAAGAGATAAAGGCTTGTCATATCTAGAAACATTCCCATTCACAGAAAACACACCACCGGGCAACACGGTCGGCGAGCACGAGGCCCCTCCAGGTCCCGCGCTCCCCAATCTTGATCACCGTCTCCCACACGCTGCCGTCGGCGGTGGGATCCGAAGAATCGTTGCTGATCATATGATCTGCCTTGCGCGTGAGTCGGAGGATCTTGCCGGATGGCGACTGGATTGCCAGCTTGGCCGGCTTTTCCCGCCCGGACGATGACCTGGTGGACGATATGGCCGAAGTAGAGGCCGAGAATTCGTTCGAAACTGCAGAGACTGAAGACCCGCCTGCGGAACTGGAAACCATACTGAGTGCACTTGCGGGCCGGGCAAAAATCGACGGCGAGACGCGCCCAGTAGGACCCGAATCGCTGCCGTTCGTCGGGGAAGGCAGCGAGGAAGGATGCTGCCGCACTGCAAACACGAATGTATTGTTGACCGCAAGTTTCGCGCACTGAGGCTGTATGATGTACAGGTCGTGCCGTTGAGCATGAGGCGTCGGATGGCGTAGGACAAACTCATAGGGAGGGTTCTCGCCAGTGTGGATTATTGGAAGGGCAAGTGCCAGCGGATGGGGAATGTCTTTGCTTGAGTGCATCAGGCCCTTTTTGCCGGCGTAGATTTTGACTGTGCCTTGCCCTTCGTCACCAGGCAAAACAGCTTTCACAGTGAAGCGTTTCTGACCGCCGACCCAGTCTGGCTGCACCAGGGCGCGCTTGCGAATAACCTCCCCACTTTCAAAGAAGTCACCGTCGGCATCCCGAGCGAAAGCGGGAGCCTCGACTTCTGCCGCACATTCCACGTCCGGCGGCACGAGAAGGTGGATCTGCAGAAGCTCCAGTCCCTCAATTCTGATCAGGCTGGTATCATAGTCTGGAAACTGCAGGTTCATCTTGAAGTAAGGTGGGCAAGCTGTAGGAAGGGCTAGCAACACATCTGGCGAGATGGGTGGACATATGTGTTGCTCCTCTGGATGCAATGGCACATGGGTATAGCAGATCTCAAGCGGACGAGCCAGGAAATACCAGCTTTCGGCTGTTGACGAGCCACTGGTGACGAACTGATTCCTTCGCGGGTTGGTTGGGTTTGCCAATGCACAATCGATAACGCGCCATTCGCCATCCACCAGGACTGTATTCCACCAGTGGTTTGGCCGCGAAAGACTGTCCAGCTCGAACAATTCACCGGGTGTTTTGAGGAACCCTTGTACTACTTCCGCATGAAGACCGACTGCCGCGCACATTTCCTTGACGAGAAACGCGACTTCCTGAGGACTTCCTCGTCTCGTTTGCAGAATTCGTTTCAAGTCAATTCCAATCTCCTCCACGGGCTCGTCCCAGGCAATTTTTTCACTGACCCAGGTAAATATAGCTCGCAACCTCTGAACATCGCTCTTGTAAGGTCGGCACACATAGCCCTGTGCAAGGCTCATCGGGTTGGTCATCGGTGGAAGGCTGTTGACAAACCGAGCACTTTTATCGACGAGGCTCAAGTTTACCGTGTTGAAGTTGGTGGGCTCGCTGATCGGCAGCCCGTCAATACTTTCATCACCTTCGGCTGTCTCGTGAAGCTCCTCCACCGCGTAGATCAAAGGATGGTCCATCATCTGGCAGCGCTCGGCTCTTTCGATACGTTCGTTGCGGCTCGGCGAGCTTGCTCGATTCACGTCACGCCGAACCTGCACCCAGTCTACCGTGCCAGCCCCTGCGTCGCGAGTCGTGTCACGTCTAATAGGAGACATTGCCCTGCCTTTCGTAGGTGAATAGGATCCACCATTCTGTCCCACAGCGATACTGCTTCTGGCATTAGCGGCACCGGTCTTGGCTGATTCGAAAATCTTCTTGAAAAACCCATGCTTCTTCGCCCTCGGAGTGGATAGACCGCCAAAAACAGCGGTGGATTTGCTGGTATCGGCAGCGGGTTGAGACCACGGTATAGCAGACGAAGCGCCTTGCCGAGAGGTGTTGTGACTTGAGTGGTATGATATACCAGTCAGAGGTGTTTCAGGCCGAGGCACGCGTGAAACATCGCTGAAGCCTCTTGAGCGAAAGGTTTCCATGGCTGTATTTGGCCTTTCATTACTGGTCGTCAGTCCTCGCCTGGCATAGCTTCCTGCACTTGTTGCGCTGAATGCGCCCGCCGATGGGCCACTCATCAAGCTCTGGCTCGTTTGTTCTGTGCTGGCTGTCATAGCTGTACCGATACTTTGCAATCCGCTTGAAGAAGTCGTGGTACTGGATTTCGTGTGACTTCGACTCAGAGCGTCTTCTCTCAAGTCCTGCCCCGACCTTTGACTCCTCAGGTATGGATACTGAGCAGGAATTGAGTTATGCCTTCCGTGGTGAGCGAGATGCTTAGGTGGCGGAGGTGGAGGCTCTTCGTCATCCTCCGGAGGCAGTATGTCTTCCGATCCTCTGCGACTCTGTTCCTGCATCTGACGCAGCCGGCTTTCCATTCTCTGCACGTAGTTGTTCAACTGCGGCGGCCCGTCAAGGTAGTGGTCATGGCCGTACATGGTATTTCGATGTATCTGACTATCGCGGAATTGATAATCCTGTTCACCTTCGAAACCGAGAGATGTCAAAGGTCGGTGATTATGCCGGGCAGGTCTGCTGTCGCGAAGGCTATCAAAAGCCTCTGGAGACCAAGGATTATCAAATACCGGGGCTGGCGAGGGTGAATGGGCTCCCCGCGACAGTCCCATGTCTTCCAAGGACGTCATGACATCTTCCATTGCGTCGCGAAGAGGTGACGGAGTGTTCCCATTGGCGTCCGAATGAGCAGCTGGAGATGGGGTCCTTGATATGGCCACGTAGCGGTCATTCATATCCAGATGAGCGGGGACACCCATGTCCATGGAAGGTCGCCGGTTGACTGCAATTCGATGCGGAGGGGGAGGAGGCGGCGGCGGCGACTCTTCGCGCTCTTGAAGCTGCAACGGGGAGATCTCGTGCGATGGAAGGTGGGCTGACGGAGGTCGAGCTAGCGGGGTCTGCCTGACAGGCACGGACGGCGGCAGAAGATCCATATCATCTGGGAGGCGAGGGGACGGCGCGCGGGACGGAGGCCTGGAGCGCAAGGTACTCTCTCTGGCTGGAACGGGACTTTGCGGTGGAAAATCGACGACCGGCGGCGCACGGGGCGAGACTCCACCGGAAGAAGGTCTATGTTGCGAGGGAGGTCTGGAAAGAGAGCTCTGGTTTTTCACCGCAGTAGTTGGTGTGCGCAGAGGCTTGACACTCCGCGCACGGCTGCCATTCCGAGGTGGCGTCTGCGGAATTGAGCTTGAAGCTTGTGTCGTTGTCGTTGTCGCGCTCCGGGCAAGCTCCGCCGGGGCCAATGCTTCCTTGTGAGCCTGAAAGGGCTTTCTAAATACAGTCTTCTGCTTCTTCGGAGCGGAAGTGGGATTCGTGATTGGAGAGCGTCCGGCAGGCATCATGGGACTTGTTGCTCTAGTGACAGGCACGAAATCTTCACCCAGAACCTCCACGAAATTGGATGGGAAAAGCCCGACCATGCGCCTGTCACGACGCAAACGACCCATCCACCATTGTCCATCTCCTGCATTCAAACACTCAATAAGATCTCCCTCCACGAAGCCAAGATCGCGTTTAGTTTCTCCTCCCCATGAGTAAATCGCACGACACCAGCACGGGAACCGCGTCGGTAGCTGAGGTGCCGCGGGCGACATTGCGGCTGGGTTGCCGGCGCAATGCAGCCCTGCCTACGAGTCCGACCGGGAGATCTAGAAACAGCGTGTACTGTTTTAACTGGTAATCTGCAGATTCTGTATTAGTACAATAGTTATGAGGAAAACGACGAGCTCGCTGTACGAAGGTTTTGGAAGGACGCACCGTAGTTCTAACCAGTAGTAACAAAGGAGAGAATATCACTAAGACCCATACAAGGGAAATTCCAAAGTGTGCATGGTAGGAAGTGTATAGGAAATTATAGAGGGGCGCGATAATAGACAGCTACCAAGGCGTTCCAATGAGAGGGAAGTGAGGTAAGGATGTGATAGATCAGACCGATAAGGACAGAGATCGGAAGAATAAAAAGGGAAATGAGACAAGGAAACAGGGTGGAAGCTGTGGATGCTGAGAGAGTACTGCTTCCGTACAAAGGGAGAGAAGGGAAGACACACCGAGAGAGACGGAGGGAGAGAGAGGGAGCTGGCTGAGCTGAGCTGAGCTGAAGTCACGGTGAGGCCCGATGGCTGTTTTGGTGTTTACGTGGGCTCCCGATTGGGCCTAGCGCCGTCTGGTCTCCCTTATCGATAAGCTTAATGTGCACGTCCTCATTAGTATCCTTCTTCCCAATGATCACCCCCAGAATACAGAGGAGATTCCTTCTATCTATTTATTGAGTTTGTCGATAGCTCATCTTTCATCGGATGCACCCTATCTGATAGATCCAAGCCATTTCCGAGGTTCCAGAGCTGAGACATGAGCGCAGCGCGCTAGAATCTAGATATGTCTGCAGAGTCGATCCATGGTTTACAGGCTCCGCTTCCCGCAGATTTACCCATGGACAGCACAATGCCGGGCTCCGATGGAGCCACAGTGGTGACCTGGATCGGGTACTAAGAGTGAAACAGCAATGTCAGAACTAGTGGCTGACGTACTACTCAGGACAACATATTCGACTGTGGCATTTGGTGTCAGCCTGAAGTACAGCATGAGAAATCTTCACGGAGCTTTATAGTAGGTCTAGACAGCCATGAGGTATCATTATAGCCAAGCAGTAATTGGTGGACAGTACTGAGAAATGTACAGAAAAATCCGATCAGAACGCCCGAGTATGCGAGGTCGTCACAAGATGAAAAAAGGAAAAATAATAAGGAAATGCATCCAGAGGCAATCCATAGTAGGTAATCACGAAATGACCACGTGGATAATACAGTCAGTATTGTAGCCTGGAGATGCATGGGAATCCAATTCGATCATCAACGTTAGATACGAATGAAGTTCGCAATGCAGAAAATGCCCAGATTGCTCAGGGAGCATGACACCCATGATCTTATTACAGAGGCACCTCAGAGCTAAATCGCAATCCGCTGCCTCGTCCTGAGTACCCGGAACCGTTATGATTATTGATCCCTGGGCTGGTTGGACGACTATTTGCCGCTGTCCACTTCGGGCTTCGTGGTTGCGTGCTCGTTGACCTGGTCGAAGGTCGGTTCTTTCGAAATTCTCGCAGCTCATCCTCCTTTCTACGCAACAAATCTTCGCGAGAAGCGAGCATAGCTTCCAACTCTTTGACGCGCGCAAGATGTCGCTGTTCATCACTTTGAATGTTGAGTTCTCTGAGACGGCTGGCATCGCCCGCAACCTTGCGCTTCAATGACTCATTCTCCTCTTTAAGCTGCAGGATCTCGTTCCCAGACTGTGCAGCCACGTTGGATGCGGTCTGGTACTGTTCGCGTGTGTACTCTGCCTGTTTTGCCTCGTATTCTGCTTTTCGCTCCAGGGAAGCATTGTCTTTGGTCAGCCGACGGATCTCCTCCTGTGCTCTTTCCAATTCTGCCATGCTTCCTCCTCCGGCCTTTAGAGCTTCCCGTGCCTTTTCGAGCTCATGTCGTAACTGAGTGCGCTCATCCTTTAGTTTTATAATATCTTCCTTTTGCTTCTCGAGTCTCTGCTCAGACAAAACTTTGGTTTCCGCCAAGCGATCACGCTCTTGCCGCACTTTGTGTAATTCCTTCGTGCGACTCTCATAGCGATGTTGGAGTAATGAGAGAATCCCTTCTCGTTCTTGTAGACGAGATTGTGCATCGGCCAAGGCTTTTTGGAGTTTGTCAAGCTCAGCCGCATGAGATGTTTTCAACTGCAGCAGATGTGCCTCCAAAGCCCGCAGGTCATTATCCAATGTTTGGCTGGGAAACTTTATGGATTCCTTCGAAGCTTCCGTAAATTGACTTGCTTCTTGAGACTCTTCCATCCTCGGCCTTTTAGGTGTCTGTTCAGTAGCATCTTCCACCTGCTGAGAGAACGTTAACCGGTCAATTCACAATAGGAAGATGATGGAGAGTGACTAACGAATAAACGCTTTGGAATCTGCGGGGTAGGCAAAAGCGCGGTTCCGGGGTGGTTCTGGTAAGGACTTAGCGCGGAGTTGAGCTCATCAGAGTTTACGATGTGGAGTGGCTCGATAGAAGGTAAGGACCAGTGAGCATTGAAATTGTCCGAATGAAGACTCGATATGATTTCCTCGGAATCTTCGTAGACGCCTAGGGCATCATCCTGGAGATCGCCTACCACGTCTCTAAGACGTGAGGTGTATTCAACCACCAAGCGTAGACGCTGAGGTTCTGGGTAGTTGGCGAAACATAACTGAACATGCTCGCTGGAGTTTGAGACAAGCAGTCGAATCACGGGGAGGAGGTTCCCATGTCGAGCATAGGTTGTTCGCATGTGTTCGACCGAGGGACTTTTTGCGTTGAAGGAACCGTCAAGTGCGACGATTGCAGCCGGGGGTTTATAAGTCTCCATAATACCATCGTCGATTGTTGACTGGATCCCGAAACTCAGGGATTCTTTCACCATGGAGACTTCCAAATTCGTCCCGATTCCCATCTCGTGGCGAGGCCTGGTGTACGAAAGGCCCTTCCCCATAAGGAAGCGCTCAAGTACCTTCTGGGTCTTCGCTCCGTGCACCATGATGACCAAGTGCAGATCACGGCTACTAGCATTGTTGATCAGGTATCCCAGGAGTAAGAACTTCGCGCTTGAGTATTCAGCCCACGCAGCCTCTTTCGCTAGGTCCGAATCGGAGTCTTTAATATGCTCGGTAATGTTCAGATCAGGATGGGTTGAAGCATTGCTCAAACGCTCAAGTAAGCTATCCATTCTGGGAATCAAACGCCCTTGCTGTCCAATATTTAGATGTTGATCGACGAGGCCAAGAATGCATTGAACTCACCTCTATCCTAGACGTTTCGGCCTGGAGCGCGAACGTCTTAAGGAACTCGTCGATGCTTTGAGCTTCGTCTTTCAATATCTGTTCATAATCATCTTTGACCCTTGAATCCATCGGGAGGGGCACGGCAAATTCTGATGGCCCAAGCTGGACAGAGCCTGGAATTGCTTGCTCTTGATGGCTGACCGTCAAGGCGCTGGGTTGGATTGTCTGCAAAATAGGTTGTTGAGGAGGACCCATTTCCGTGGGTCGCACCAGCGGGTCGGGAGCACTTAGTTCTCCCTCCGCGTGAGCTGTGTGTGGAGCATCTTCTCTGTCGACCCTAACGCTAAGAGGTGCCGTAACTTCGGGTATGAGCAGCGAGGGCGATGGTTCAATATCTCCAGCCGAGGACGGAGTGACGCTAGCATCAGCGTTCAAAGGAGTTCCAGGATTGGTTTTCGCACGTATTTGGGCATGTGCATTTCGAATCTTTTCCAGTGGCGTCGAACCCTCATATTGGCTATACTTCTCCATGGTCTCCGCCAGAGACGGAGTCTCTCTGTCTCCCCTGCCGGCATCCATTGCCACGGCTTCGATAGCCACGGATGCCGAGGCCTTCCGTTTCGAGGGTATTGGTTGGGGTTTAGACTTTGTTCGGGTGATTGACCAGCGTTCTGCGACTGATGTGAAAGAACCGTCTCTGGTACGGAACTTACGTGACGAACAGTGATGTTACCGGCAAGACTGGGACTTCCTGATATGCCTAGAGATGTTAGCTTGGTATAGAATAATGAGAAGTGCGATATCAACAATCTGGTGACCAGGAAGTACCTGATAACAACTGAGAGCCTAGGCTGCTGGAGTTAGATTTTTGACTGATTGCGATAATTGATGTCTGCGAACCCGAACTTCTTGTACCCGAGATGACGCGTGTACCCTGGCTTTTCGGAATATTTGTCACGCAGGGTGGCGTCTCCGCTACCTCTTCCCCTGGTCTGTTTCGGTTGCCAACTATTGCTTGAGAGGGAGTCTGGGTAGCACGAATAATACTCGAAGCCACCTTAGATTCAACAGGAGAATTCGGCTCCGCGATTTCGCCAGGAAGTCTATATCTGGACGGTATCGAGGATCCAGTAATGTACTCGAACACACACCCAGAATGGTTTGGTGTGGTGACTGACAAAGGAGGTCTGTGCTTGATTCCTTTAGAGGCACCTGGTCGGGGCCCTTTCAATTCCTGGGAGAAGGCCGGCGCCTGATCGGGTTGCGTTAGCGCTTGGCTAGTATTCTCCTCTGGATGCGGTCCTTCGTCGATCGGTACGAATAATGGAGAGGGCGAACGGTCGTGAGCTCGCGGCGGCTCAACTCGGCTTTCCGCGATGGTAGGGCCGGGACTCAGTGAGCTTCGACTTTCGCAGCGCGAGTTAGTTAAACGAATTGGCGATGAATTATCGGGATGGATCCTGGACAGGCTGTTGTTCGTCTCCTTCTTCTTTTCTTCCCACACTTTTATCGCGGCTTCGTTGGCGTTTTCCTTGGGTTCCTATCCGTATGTACCCCGATTAGATGACTAGCACTTTGCCTCCAAGTGTTCAAGACAGACGCTTCGCCCAACTCACCCACGTCGGCGACCAGGGGCCCTCCCAGTCAATAAGGTATTGTGATTCGGATTCGTCAAGGATGCAGTTGATGTACCATTCGTCTTCGTCTAAGTTAGATCTGCTGTCGTCGTTCTCGTCGTTCTCGTCGTCACTTGACGAAATGACATAGACTTCTTTCCACCTTTTCTTTCTGGAGTTATCTGCAGGGTCTGAAGATGCGGGTGAAGCGGCTTTGCGCTTGCGCCACATCATGCGCGTTCAATGAGCCCAGCCAATTTGTAGGAATCCATGACGGAGTGAGAGCTCTTGAAGTGTAAGAAAGATGACGTGGTTAAATATGAGAGCTAGTTGCTGAGTCAGTCTATTGTTGTTAGAACAAACGAGGGAGCTCTTGACATACCGAGCAGCAATGGGCCTTTCAGAATAGAGAGGGAAAGCGGAGTGAATTATTTAAGTATGAGCAACTCGGTCGACAGGGAGCTACGCGGATGATCGCCAACACGTGATAGGCTTGTGCTTATCAGTACCCAACTCCACCATGATAGCTTCAGTATCGTGACTCGTACGGAGTATAGATTCACAATGTACGGAGTTATTGCAGAGAAAATCAAGAGGGAGGTTCTGTCTATGGCCTATTCAGTAATATACATGGTTCATACAACGTCTCTATTCTTGCCTTTCCTTCCAATCCTCATCATAATTGAAACCAAGTTCTGCGACGGATTTGATATTGCGACGCTCCTCGCCCTTCTCGACGAAGGCCCTTCTAATATCTGGGAACTTTTGTCGCATCCACCTCTGCTTCATTCCCCAGTAATTGCATTGCTTGCCATGGCCGTTATTGGCCAGACCTTGACGTGCTTCGGCCATATCTGCCCAATCATGAAGGAAGTTCATATAATCAGCATCCAAGGGAAAGTGCATCAGATGGAATCTTGTGCCGTCGCCTTTTGTGGCGACAGTGGATTCCTCCCATTGTTTCATTTCTGCTATGGATGGCAGAGTAAGACGTCCTGACCAAACCCGGGCATAGACTGCCGCTTGATTTTCCGATAACGGGAACGGAATCACTCTCTGGGGAAGCACAGGGAATACGAGGGTAGGATTGTAGATGTAGAAAAGATGTTGATAGGTATTCAGCGTCCTGCGGCCGTCTCCGATAACAGGCGGGTCGAGAGACGATAGGAAGGGGAATGAGTACAAGTAGCCGGTACAGAAAACAATGGCATCGATGTCCATCTCAACCCTGCCATCTGCAAAGCGTACTGCTCGTTGATGAGACTCTGGCGGGAGAAATTCCACGATTTCGGGGAAGTAACTCTTGTCTGCGGGAGTAGAAGGCGTCAAGTACGACTCTGTTCGCTGAGCAACGAGCACTTTGCCCTCGCTCACGCGGTTTATTTGAGCTCCGATGTCTATCGCGGACGCTGAACTTCCGACGACAATGACCTTTTTGTCACGAAATTGTTCTGGTGAATCGAAGTACTTGGAATGGGAAATCACGCCCGGATATTTCTTATTCCAGTGTTCAATGCCTTTGATGTCTGGCAAGTATGGCACATCAAAATGCCCACTGGCTACCACCACCGCATCGTATGTACCGGTCTGCTTAGCCCCGGTACGCAGATTTCTTGTAGTCAGCGCCCAAGCCTTCTTGGTCGGCTCTTCTGGTCTGACATCAAGTACTCGAGTTTCGAACTGAATGAGGTCTTGAACATCTTCTGCATATTCTTCCAGATATCTCTTTACTGTCGAATGCTTCGGTAGGACTTGGCAATCCGCAGGGAATGGTTTGTCAGAATACGCCATCAGTTCTTTCGGGATATTGGTATCCAGGGTGCTATAGATGGGAGAGATGAAAATGGGCTGACGGGTCTTCTCTGTCTCTTCAGATCGATACCATATAGGCTCTTCAAGTGGTCCATCTGGGTTCAATTGCGGCACCCGGGTGACCAGGCTTGTTTTCAAGGTACCGGGAGTATAGTTCCAGACTCCGCCAACTGAGCCTCTCTGTTCAAAGACATCTATCTTGTCAAAGCACTTCTCTGCGAGGAGATATCTAGTTTATTGTAAGTAAAGACTTAAGTGATGTGGCCGCAAAACGAGCCACAGTATCGGAAGTCCTCGTACTTTACCGCAGAAAGACCAGATGGTCCGGCGCCGATTACGGCTATCCGACGGACGGGCAGTGAAATCGTCATGGTCGGGGGCCTTGTTAGGATGAGTATAAGATAGATCTGATACAAGGAGCATCGGATGGACTGCAGTCCGGCTCCTTAGCCGAGTGTGACCAGGATGCTAAGGAGGACTAAGTAAACCAGCCGAATCTCATCGGCAACTTAATCCCGCTGATGACATTGAGATGCCGTGATTCGATAGAAGGCTCCAGCCAGATATACTTTGGACAGAATCGTTTGCACTCATCTCCTGTTTCATTCAGACCAGCGTCTTTCTGTTTGACTTACTCTACTAGTAGCCCCTAAACCTTCACGAGCCATGTGATAGCCATGTTTTGAACAATACATAAATTACGCGTCCTTTTGGGGTTAGAAGTGCTATCGTATGGTATTATTACAAAGATAATACCTGCCTCAAGTGATGTAACTTAAGAGGCTTCCCGAAGCTTTACGCAACAAACACAAGAAAATCATCGTGTGCTCTCCCCTTGGGATCGTTGGTCTTCCAACCCCAGGCAACACTGTGCTGTTGCTTCAATACTGTCGCTTTCTTCTCTACAGACGACGTTTTGACGAACGAGCAATTTCCTTCAAAATGCAACATCGTTGATCAAGGCCTGACCGATTCCGCTATTCCGCTCCGCGGCCGCGACGATGAACTCCCACGAACAGCCTCCGATGTCTGAACCCTTGCGTTCGACCGCCATACCTATTGCGCAAATCTCCCCAGAAGCCGATCGAATCTTAGAACGCTCGATACACGCGATCGTTACCCTAGTATGGCCTTACTCGTCGTCGAACAAATCTCTCAGCCTTTTGTTAGCTGAGCCCGACTTCCGCCTCCGACGAAACAATGGTCAAGTAAAAGTGGTGTTTCGTGGACGTGCTGCAGAAGCGGTAGCCAAGTCTCAAGTTGGGATCGGCGACCATGTTTATCTAGGCCTGGCTGGGTCAAAATTCGTGCCCAGTAAGGCAGTAGCGCAGACTCCTGGAAAGTGCGTACCTTGGGATGTACAACTTGATGAACGAGTGCTACTTGAGGTGCGTTGAGCGCGTAGCAAAGAGGAAACAGCAGTGTAAACTGATCAGAGCTATAGATCTGGCGTTCGTCTCAACACTTCTCGACCGTGAAACTTGACCCTTCTACAGTTCCATCTCAGAATATGGAAGATGCGCCGCCAGCTACACCGATTGCTAATGGACGTGTCGAGCGCGGCGAAGCGACTTCAACTGCCACATTCGAAGCCTGGAGATCTCCCGCCTTCGTGGAGCGAACACGTACATCGTTCGGTGGTCTCGTGGATTCGGCGTATGATCCATTCGCTGAAGAAGATGGGTTTGTTCCTGGCAAAGGCCGCAAACGACCTCGTTTTAGCCTTCGAGGCGCTGATTGGCGTGTTATTGACGAACCCGCAAGTCCCGGAGAAAAAGAGGTACCGGCAGATTGGACGTGGATGTTTGAAGAAGATGAAACTCACGAGTCCGATATTGGTGAAGAAAATCACATAGTCAGCGCCACACTACCTCAAGAGATTTCCACAGCGACGGCTACGGAGCCAAATGCTCCAGAAGGCATCGATACAGTCGCAGACGTGGACCATGAACCGCTTGATGTTGATTTAATGAGCACAGAACGAATGGCTGAGCAGCCAACCAGGCCAAGTCCTGAATTTGCGCAACCACTACGTGCACCTGGATTCCCCCAACACTTTGCCAGACAGCAATTTGAAGGTTCCGATTTCCAATACCCAACAGACACGCCACGCCTGTATCCGATTCCTTCTCCTGGACTGCCGATTCCATCACCACTAGTCACTAGGTCGGGTAGTGCGCATGACTACTACTTTCCACCTGTGGCTCCCAATCTGCAAACACCCTTAGATCAATCCGCTGCGGAGGGAGAAGAATTGGAGATGACTGAAGAAGTCAAATCTAGGGCCCAGCCTGACATTCCAACGAGGCAAGAGCTCCAACCGCTTGTCACAACTCCTCCGCAGGCCATATTAGGGAATAAATCGGTTTTAGCGTCTCAGGACGCTCCTACCGATTTGGAAGTCGAAGGTCAAAGGGGCATGAAGGACACTTCAGCAGCCGACGCCATGCCCTTGGAGGGTAGAGAACCTGCGCAACACCACGAAGATGTTGAGAAACGAATATCCAACGTCCCGCCGGTCTCTTTGGATCAGTCGTATGCGGAGAAGCCGGCCGAGGTCGCGAGCCACGATATTAGGGACGTCGTTGGGGAGGAGTCGGAACAAAGTGACATCAACCAAGACAGAGAAGTCCAGGACGAAGAGAATAATGAAGAGAGCGAAGATGAGTTGGACGAACAGTCAGAAGTGGAGTTAGAAGAAGAGTCAATTGAAGAGGAATCAGCCGAGGAGGAAGAGGACGAACCAGTCGAAGAATATGGATATGAAGATGTTCAAGAACAACGAAGTCAACGACCACCCGATGCCTTCGGAGCCAAGGACTTCCACCAAGATGGTACAAGGCGTTATGAAGACTCCGAGGTCGAAGAGATTGCGATTGGTACCAATAGAGCGCTGGAAGACAATGATGTGTCTGATACCGGATCTGAGGCCTTTTCGGCTGCTGAACGACAGGCTGCTGAGGAAAGGGGTCATCCCCATAATCTGGAAGAGGAGAGTGGCGAAGACGAACACGAAGGTGATTATGAAGACGAAGGAACGTTCGATGAAGAGGACATCGAGGGTGGATATGAGCGGGTGGAGGTATCGGACGAAGAAGAGGACGAGGATGAGGAGGATGAGGAGGATGAGGAGGAGCAGGAGGAACATGAGGAGGAGGATGAGGATGAAGACGAAGAAGAATCAGTGCTTGAGGACGAGCAAGAGGTGTACGAGGATGACTATGACCGTATCGATTCTGAACCCGAGTCATATGCAGGTGCAGATTCCGCAGCTAGGCCTGAGAAAGTTGTTCATCCGGAGGTCATCGTCTTGGACAGCGACAGCGAAGACGAGGCTGTTGTCAGTGCTTCGACGAAAGCTCATATGCCATCGGCCGAATATGCTGCTACAGTTAATGATGTAGAGTCATCTGCAGCGTCAGCTGAAGAGGATGATGTGTATGACAGAAGCTCTGTCGGTTCGGAAGCAGAAGAATGGCCCGAAGATGAGCTGGCTGAAGGTGACCAGACGTTGGATGACGAAGCGGAAGAAGAGTCCATGCAAGACGAAATAGCCGTGCGCGATAATGCTGAAGATGAACTTATGGAGGATGCGCCTTCAGAGGAGGATTCTGTCGCAGGAGAGCCAATGGAAGTGCAGACGGATGCCGAAGAAAATTCAGCTTTGGCGGATCCAGTGCGAAGCGAACTTCAGCAGGAAGCTGATATTGAAGACTACTTGATCTCCGAGACACCTAACGAGGTGCTACAAGCAACTTCGGGTGCACCGCAAAGCGCAGAGGGTCAGGACATCGCCGATCTTCGGGTCTCTGTCGCGCAATCTACGCAAGGACCTTACACCGATTCTGTATCCGGCCCGCGCCCTCAGCATTTAGCAATTGATCCTGAGTTGTATCGACTAGGAGGTACTGGCGAGGATGAAACACGCAGTCCGGAGACCGATGCTCACGCTGAGCCGGAGCCGGAAAAGCCCGGCTTGGAGGATGAGGGTATCAGAGAGCCATTCTTCGATGGCGCTGCCTCCCCACAACCCGTTGACACTTCTGCAGAATCTGCATCCCCAGTCCAGGAGCCTTCACCCCAAGCTCCACAATTGGTCACTCCGGATGCTTCACAATTGACTGCGCCTGGTCATCATCTTCCTGCCGCCATTCCAGTCGGTGACTTTCCTCCGACACCCGAACAGACACAGGAGGTACCCCAAGGTCTCAGTACCCAGTATGATGGTCATGCCGATGCTCCGGAACGAACGGTGCTGCACATATCCACCACATCCGTAGAGACTGATGTATCGTCAACAAACGAGTATAATGTGCAAATGAGTTCCACTCTGGCCGAACAGCAACGCCAGACGCAGACCGACGGGGTATCTGTCCATGATGAAGAGTATGCGATGTCTTCCGTTGGAGACGAAATCGCAAGTGAAGTTCACGAGTGGGGGTTTTCAGCACAGCCATTGGAAAGAATGTCCTCGGTTGTAAATCGTGATCACCCCGGTTTGCGAAGCAAATATTCTTACTTCGCTCCTCTTGCTACGCTTATCGACCATTACAATTCGCTGATAGATACGATCTCTCTTGTGTCCGAGGTTTCTCCAACAAGCCGGGCTACTACAGGAAAGAAAGACTTTACATTGACCCTCCAGATTACCGACCCATCGATGGCAGGCACTATCGTTCATGCACAAATCTTTCGTCCTTACAAATCTGCACTTCCTTCGGTCAAAGAAGGCGACGCCATATTGCTTCGCAACTTCCAGGTCAAAAGCTTCAACCACTCTATGATGCTGGTCAGCGTCGACACTAGCGCATGGGCTGTTTTCCACAACACCAGCAAAGAAGCGCAAATTGTCGGCCCTCCGGTCGAATACGGCGATGAGGAAAGCGCATACGCCACTGACCTACGGCAATGGTACCATGAAGTTGGGATTGCTATGGTAGCCGATTACCAGCTTCAGGCTTCAGTACTGATGGCTAGTAGAGAGGCAACACCTGTCAGTAGTGTTGCGCACAGTGACGCGGGTAGCGTTGACTCCGGATCTCGAGAAGTACGCGGGGAATCATCTGTCTCTAACCGAGGCTCGAAACGAAGGAAATCCCACCGGAGGATAACAATTCACGAATTGAGGGATGGAAGAAGATATGCCGAGGTCGGATCGCCGTCCGACAAAGAAAGTATACACGAACTCAGGGATGGGACGCTATATGCGAATCTCTGATTCACCTTGTTGGTCTCGGTAATTCTGTGACGTATTTGGTTCGTGGCCAGGCCCTCGATGTCTATCGGTCGAGGGAATATTTCTTTTGGATAAATGGTTCAGAGATGATCGTACTGGAAGCTGGTTTCTTGGAGATGACGATCAAGTCACAGGCCCTCATCATAGCCCGAAAGTAAGGTATTATTATCAACCAGTTTTGTTCCCAAGTATCTGTCATTAAAACCCCCGGTCTATGGCTCTGTCCTCGTATGCTATGGTCTATGGAAGTATTACGGTCTATACAGAACACTGATATATACAGCATTGCTAAGAGGCCGTGAAGAACTCGTAAACCTGGGAAGAGACACCAGATCCACTACATCTTTGATTCTTTCGACGTGATGTAGTCTCCCGTGATGGCTGCCCTTATGAGCTGGTGAGCTATGGCGGTAGGAGGAGGAAGTCTCAAACCACCCTTGTACTCGGGACCAGCCGTCTCTCCCAAGGCACTCGTTCCAATCTTCAAGGCTTCCTCCACCTCCTCGATTTCGAACCACTTTGCATCCTCCAGCTCAGGGTCATGCAACAGACTAATCTTCTCATGCTCTGGATCGCTGACTTGAGCAATCGCACCGATCATAAGATTGGCCGGGTACGGCCATGGCTGAGAGGAATGGATTACGACACGCGAAAGCGCGACACCAGCTTCCTCCCACACTTCTCTCCGAACAGCGTCCTCCACCGATTCTGCGGGCTCAATAAAACCAGCCAGTGTTGAGTACCAGTTCGGAGGGAAGCGCTTGGAGCGGCCGAGGAGAATCCGCTTAGCGTCGGCCGAGAGGACAGCGACAATGATCGTCGGATCAGTGCGGGGAAGGAAAGATTTGACAACGTGGTGCGAGTGTTGCACTCAGGTCGCGCCTTTCCTTGTTCTGCCAGGGCGACATCCGTCGGCGGACACGCACGTTTCGTCCCCGAGTTCACGGAGAGCGTAGGATAACCGCAGGTGCCGCAGAATGTATTCCGGGTGTTCCAGTCAATCAGCGCACGGGCCTGCGCATATATGGCAGCTGGATATTGCAAAAGTCAAAATCAGTGGTTTCTCAGTGTTGTCGTTGTCGGTAGTTCACATACCCTCATCCGCCGAGAAAGTCATCACCACTCTCGACTGGTAGAAGCTGAGGCCCTTAGCCTCCATAGTGCTGATGATATCCTTCGCGTTGGCTTGCTGCTCCTCTGAACCTTTCGGCGTTACATCCAAAGCGAAACAAGGAGCTCCAGTGTAGATTTTCCAAGCCAGACCATCCTGTTTCCGCGTTTCATCGAGTCCCAGGAAGATGAGCTGAGCACTTGTCTTTCGAGAGTCAAATTGCTTGATCATCTCCTCCTCCGACTGGTCGAAGGAGTCCTCGGGCACAAGCTTCCGTACTTCGTCATACTTTGCGTAATATAGTTCAGAAGGACTCTTGGTGAGAGGCGCGAGATCTTTCAAAAGAACAAAGCGAGTAGACGGATGCTTAAGGGCGGCTGAGAGGAACGTATGTTCAGAGCGCAAGAATGAGAGACGGTTCAGAGGCGAACCTGTAAGTGTCAGTTGAAGGTCCAACAAGAAAAAGAATTAAGCCACAGAGGGGATCCTCACTAGAAAAGTAGTTCACCGTTTCTCTTCCAAAATGCCGCGAGAGCATTGAGTCAGCCAGTATATGGGCGGGTGCGGGATCTGGGGACCGTTGGACATGGTGCTGTCGCTGCGAGCAATTCCGCTGTCTCTGCAATCCTCGACGAATATTAACAAATCGTTTTTCTGAGGCGTGAGAATGATCGAGGAAGATGGAGTACAAATGGCAACTTGATATCATCGCACTAGCGCCACTCTTTCTAAGCTGTCCCTCATCGTTAACTTAGTAAACAGATAAGAGATGATTAATCATCTGGTTATGGCCGAGGATGAGCACGGCCTAATTCCGGTTGAAAGAGCTCGTAATTATTACCGTAAATGGCGATTTCCGCCTTGGACTTTCATGATTTTATGGTAATGCAGAAACAGCCGCGGGGCACAAAGGAAACTAACCAAGCTAGGGAAGCTCCCCACACACGTGATCTGCGTCATGGTTACTTTCCGCGCAGTCTCCAATAATTCTTATCTGATACGCATTTGCTTAGCAGAAGGTGGACCTAGCTGAAGTGGACTCTGATCAGGCATTGTGCTGTCTTTGTAAAAGGTAATTGTTCTTCATTGATGGCCTAGAAATACTGCATTGGCTTGTTTTGATCATGACATCTTGGTACCTCCGTTGCCAGGGCTTTGAGCAGGCAGTTCAATGCACATCTCTTGACCGACAAGGTGTCTTTATGTGTACTTCTGGACTGACATATAAGTATCCTACCTAGGCGTCCATTGGTGTCTCAATCTCTCTCGATACTGAAGCTAGTTCAACTGGTGGCCTGAAAGCCGCAAGCTGAGTCACGATGGGGCATCTTGTCACCCTGGCAACATGGTATGTCGCCGTATTTCGATCAATTACTTCTATACTTGCGAAGAATTGATGCTGACTTGTGCTCTTTCAAAGCTCTCTTAACCAATGGGCTTTAGATTTTGAAGGAAATGCTGAACGTATCATTGAGAGTATTCGGCAAGCCAAAGCGGCCGGCGCTACTCTACGTGTTGGTCCGGAGCTCGAGATCACTGGTACGGACCAAGCGCCATCGTGCCTTTCACCAAATGGTTGTTAAAATTTCTCAGGATATGGTGTTCTCGATGGCTTCCTAGAAGGCGATACGTTTCTACACTCGTGGGAGATGTTAGCTCGTATCATTGATCACCCAGACTGTCAAGACATTGTGGTTGATGTTGGCATGCCGGTTCGTCATCGGAACGTGCGATACAACTGCCGGTGAGTTGGTTTCTACTCCGTTGGAATTTCTAAACTAACGAGCGTAGTGTGATCTTTTACAACCGAAAGATTATCCTCATCCGCCCGAAGATGTGGCTTGCCAATGGTATACTGTTCTTCTTGCCTGTCATTTTTCTCCCCACCTAAGTACAGCTTTTCACTAACCGTGTTGCTGCGAGATCAGACGGGAACTATCGAGAGCTTAGACATTTTGCCCCATGGCAGCGCCCTCGCGAGATTGAAGACTATTACCTGGAGCAGATTGTGGGCAAAATCACCGGCCAATATAAGGTGCCTTTTGGTGACGCGGTCATCAGCACACGGGACACGTGCTTAGGGCTTGAAACCTGCGAAGAACTCTTTACTCCTAATGGGTACGTTCTGACCTATACCGCGGTTGAGCAAGACTGACTTTCTCAAATGAAGTCCTCATATTCCGTACGGCCTCGCTGGTAAACACTATCATTTACTGTTGTTAAGCAATCACTTGCTCACATTACTCTTCAGGCGTTGAGATTATTTCAAACTCGTCAGGGAGCCATCATGAGCTGAAAAAGCTTGACACTCGTGTGAATCTGATCACCCAGGCTACTAAGCTGGTAAGCTTGTTACTTGTTTGCCTTCTAGTTTCGCGAACTAATACACCGATATAGAGTGGAGGCATCTACCTCTATGCCAACCAGCAAGGTTGCGATGGTGATAGACTCTACTACGATGGCTGCGCAATGATTGTCATCAACGGGAATATTGTTGCCCAGGGTTCTCAATTCTCGCTGAAAGATGTGGAGGTTGTTACGGCTACTGTTGATATCGAAGAAGTCTGTCACCTACAATGGTCTTACTCTTGTCTCTGGTACTGATGACAGCAGGTTCGGACCTATCGCGCTAGCTCTAGCCGCCACATGCAGGCTACCAGGCAACCTCCGTTTGTTCGGCTTGATCTCGACGTACGGCTTTCCCGTCAGGACGATGATGCCGATCCTGGCCTTGTCCTATCTGAGCCGGTCTCAGCAAAGTACCACGCTCCAGAGGAAGAAATTTCCCTCGGCCCAGCTTGTTGGCTTTGGGACTATCTGCGAAGAAGCGGCGCTGCTGGTTTTTTCCTTCCCCTTAGCGGAGGTATTGACAGCTGTGCTACAGCTATTATCGTACACTCTATGTGCAGAGAAGTCGTCAAGGCAGTCTCGGAGGGCAACCAGCAAGTTATCAAAGATGTCCGTAGGCTGTGTGCCGAACCTGAGGGCTCGACCTGGCTTCCCAGCACCAGCCAGGAAGTATGCAAGTAAGTTTGCTCCTTGAACATCTGTCTCTTACGACTTGCTTTGAGCATAGAGAATATTAACATTGATCTAGCCGTATATTCCACACCAGCTTCATGGGCACCCAGAATTCAAGTAAAGAAACAAGAGAGCGGGCCAAAGGGCTCTCCACCGAGATTGGGTCCTATCATATCGACTTCAACTTTGACACTGTTGTGACTACTCTCACGAACTTATTCACTGTGGTCACGAATTTTCAGCCCCGGTTCAAAGTTCACGGTGGTACTGGAGCCGAAAATGCGGCATTACAGAATGTCCAAGCTCGTTTGAGAATGGTCCTGTCGTACTTGTTTGCTTCGCTGCTCCCAACTGTACGTCAGCGTCCAGGTGGAGGCGGACTACTTGTGCTCGCATCTTCCAATGTAGACGGTAAGAGATACTCTTGACTTCATCGGTTGAAGGTTCAGGTTCGCTAACAGTTGTCTAGAATGGTACGTGCGAGCGGCAATGCATTAAACAGCCGAGCAGTTTCGAGTTCTCCATAGCTGATCCTGACTAACATTGTCTAGTTTGCGTGGTTACCTGACCAAATACGACGCAAGTAGTGCCGACGTGAGTACAATTCCTTATCTCAAGTCGAGAGACCTTTCTGTTCGGGAACTTAGAACTGAAAATTCGCGAAATAGTTGAATCCTATTGGGTCGATTAGCAAGGTCGACCTCAAAAAATTCATCGCCTGGGCCCGCGATTCATTCGACCTTCCAATTCTGCATGAGTTCTTAACAGCAACCCCAACCGCCGAATTGGAGCCTATCACAGCTACTTACGTCCAGTCAGACGAGGCCGACATGGGCGTGACATACGCCGAACTAGGCACATTCGGCTACCTGCGCAAGGTCGCAAAATTGGGACCCTGGTCAATGTACGAGAAGCTGCTCCACGTCTGGGGAAACGAGTATAGCCCCCGTGAGATCTACGAGAAGACTCGGCACTTTTTCTTCCACTACGCTATCAACCGGCACAAGATGACTGTCTTAACGCCCAGCTACCATGCTGAGCAATACTCCCCTGAAGATAACAGACACGATCTCCGCCAGTTTTTGTGTAAGTTACTCTCCCAGACTGAGTGTTTGTTTGCTAGGGTCAACGCTGACTCATACCAACTAGACCCGCCGTTCACATGGGCATACAAGAAGATGGAAGAGAATGTCAAGTACTGGGAATCCAAAGGGTGGACTGCTGGTAAGGCACAGAAGAAGAGTGTCAAGGCAGATTGAAAGTGCCCCGCTTTCTGCCTGCTTCCATGAACTGTCACATTTGCGAACATCCAGTGTTGTCACAGATGTACAAAGATGAAGAATAGAAGATTGATTTGGTTTGGCAATCTGGGTCCTCTCAATATAGCTATATACTTTCACTTAATATCTGGGAGAAGAATTTTGATTATGATGCAATAATCCGGCGCCAATTTCATCCACGTATGCGGCGCCCAACACCAGAGGATAGTAACTGTAGTATGATATGTTCAAATCCTGAGCTTATTGCAGAAAGAACACGAGAAAGAATGACACAAAACAAGAAAACGCCAGCAAGCGCTAAATCCAATGCGAATAATAAGACAGAAGAGATGAAATCGCCCCGGAAGAATAGTAGTATGATGCTCTTAATCTCAGTCTCTCCAAAACCAGCCTCTCTTCTTTTGATTCTCAAGAGCCTCCTGACCAGCAACCGAATCTTGAGGTTTTTGAGGTGGATTCATGACTTCAACCGATTCATTTGTTTCTTCCCGGCCATCCGCGAACCGCTTGGTCTTCACCGTCTTGGTCTGTATCGAACCATCAGGAAGACGAACACGCTCTGTCGTTGTCCGGGTGGAAACTACGTATGGCTGTTGCCCTGTGGCTGTGCTCGTTGGACGTGTCTCGCCAGTGGTCGATGCCCCCGAGGTCGATTGGGGGCAGTCTCAGGAACGGTGTTCTTGTCGCCATCAGAAACGAGGTCTATCCAAGAATCGGTATTTTTGCTCGGGCCCTCTTTCTCAAACGGCTCGATTTCTTCCTTCAGCCGTCGTCTCTCCTCCAAGAGAGACCGCAGAAGGGGACTCTCGTAAACTCCTGTAAAGAACTCGCGCTCGCGCGCTTCGATATCTGCAAGGAATTGGTCGTACATGTCCAGTTCTGTATCGGGTGCGAACTTTGTATCTTTCCAGCTGGCCTCAGCCTCTGTTTGCTGTGTTCCACCTTCATCGGACCGAGAGCGATCCTTGTCTGTCGGCTCGATACTCTCAAGCGTGATCCCCGACCAACCCTGGCCGTCCGGCCCTGAAACATACTTCCACCGATCGCCAAGGCTGCCGCGTTGCACCAGGCCTTTCAGCCATTCGGTCCCGGATTCCTTCTTGACCAATGTCGTACTGGGTTCGCGGTCCAGCATCGGTTTTCCGTTCTCGAGTCGAAGAAGATCCTCAAAGGCCTCGCGCCACTGCGGCTCGGCAGGGTCGCGTTCAGAAGTAGGCTTCAAGGACGACATGAGTGAAGAGAATACTCCTCGCTCTCTGTGTGCTCGATAGGATGCCTGACGCTCCAAATGCAGTGGCGAGTATGGACTGAACATCAAGTATGCCAGGGGCCAAGTTGCGGAGTCGTCGTTCAGCATGTTGAAGAAGAATGGCTGATGGAAGGGATGAAAGAAGCGCGAGGAGAAGTGATCATCGAACCAGAATCGATCGAAGAAAGAGTCGAAGAAGGAGTCAAGGCTGAAGAAATCGGAGGGTCTGTCGAATCGTCCATGGTGATGCGAATGCCGAGGATCATCAGACCGCGGCCACCGAGAGCTCGCAGGTGGCTTGTCGTCCTGGCCTATGTTGTCTGTGTTGCCAGAGGCGCCTGTCCCAGAGCTCGCGGGATATTCCCCTTCCTTGCCTTCGCCAGTCTGTCGCTGGCGGTAGTTGGGCTCTCTATAATTCTTTTCTTCGGCGAAGATAGCCCAATGATTTGAATGAGGAGCGGAGATCGAAGATGGAAGACCCATTATAGACTGCAGCATGGACGAGATCTGTTCGTCAGCATAACGGCGGAACGCAACGAACGGGTTGTGGTCGTGGACTCTTTCGGTGGATGGAGGACGGTTGTTTGTCATGTTGATATCTTCTTCTTCGCCTGCCATCGTGTTGAAGACTAGATATTCGGCGTACGTAGTTCAAACTTGCATCGAACGTGTAGTGATGTGAAAATGACGGCTTAACAACTGTAAGATGCCCTCTAAAGCGGCCGAAGCTGTTGGGGATCGCCCCACTTTGTCCTTCAATCGTAATCACCACGTGATGTCGCGCAAAATACAACAAACCTTCGGTTCCTTTCTGCGTATTTCGATCGAGCGCATTTACAGTGAAAACGATATGAACTGATGGAAATAGTCGACTTTTCCAAGAAGTAGACTAGCTACATACGATCTCATCCAAAATGACATACAAAGCTTGGCGCTGGTAAGAACATGCTCGGAGATTCAATGGCCGTTTGTTGGGAATCGGGTAAGACATTTATTATTGCAGTTCTACTAGGGAGACCCACCGGCCCTGATTTAGAGCTAAACGCTAGACTAACGAATCGCTCAAACCATACTTCAACGTCCGAGGTTGCGGAGTACTCGGTAAATCAAACTGATTATCTTGAACTGAACTGCTGTTGTGACATGGAATGACGGTTGAATTGCAGGACCGGAGCCTCCTTTTCAGTCTGTGAGCCGTCTGTCAGTTGGGGTATCGGCCGTAATGGATTGATTCATCATCAAAACACTCAGTTCCTATGGCGCCGCCGTCTCAAAGGCGAGGTCGATCGTGGAAGTCCTTCCATGCCTCTTCGAACCCTGTCGAGCGAACCCACATTGTGCCCATTTGATCACCTTTGGTTGAATCGATAGCTAGTGCGAAGACAGCCATCAGCGAAGCCCTGAAGCATTGTCTTAAGAGTACCAGGTGTCTGGCTTACCCATGTTTGCAATCTTCAGCCACATATCACCGGTGATCAAAAGTCCTAGCTCTTCTGCTCTAGCCTCAAACGGACGACAGACCTTCTCGCCATTCGCTAGAGCCCTAACAAGCTTGGACAAATGACCGTCGTCGCGCGGGTGTACACTGCTCTCATGGAAGATTGTCTTCCAGTCGTTCGGAGCTTCATATGTAGTAACTTCTTCCAGCAGCAGATTGGGAACTCCCCGGGATACATAGAACGCCAGATCTGCACGGCCTTTCCACTCAAGCATACGCAGCTTGGTGCGTGTATCCAGGTACGGAAGAGTGACGATCTTGGAAAGGAATATCGAAGAAGTCACGCAGTGCATCAAGAAGAAGTCAAGCTTGACCTGCTTTGGCGGACGCTGAGCGGCACCTGTAAAGTAAGCTGCATAGAGAGTTAACCATCATTGATCTGGAAGCCCATCATCCTAGCGGATATGAGTAAAGGCAGCGATACTTACCGACTAGATTGAGAAGTTCAGCAAGCTTTTCCTCCATTTGCTCGGCGGAGACGGAAACTTGTGCTGCATACTTGATCATCTCATCCGATGCTCGCTTCAAAACGCCGTCTCTGATTTTGTTCCCATCTTCCCATTTGACTGATTCGACTAGTTTCTTATCAGCGCGGATTTCGTTCAAGATTTGCAGCATCGTTTTCTTTCCAGGCTTGCCGATCCCTCCTGCGGCCTTCTCTACCGGCAGGAGGTATAGCCGACCAATCCAATCCTCATGGACTGCGGTCTGTGCGAGACCCTCAGCGACAATTGCGGGCTGGTCGAACTCGAGCCCGAATCCAAGATGAATCAGCGGATGAAGGAGTCCTGACATCTGTGTCAATCTGAGAACAATTTGAACGTCTGCATGTCCCCTCACCTCCAAACAGCCGCGCAAGCATAGTCTCGGCGCACTCGCTCCCTGAAAACAGATACTCGTTAAGCACATCCGCCACACCTTTCTTCTCAATCTCCTGCTGAAAGAAAGCCAAGTAATTGGGAAAATTCTTTTCATTGCCGAGGTGCTGCTGGAACTGGGCCTTGTCATGCATCGACTCAACTATACTCTGGGTGGTCGGCAAGACAGGCCGCTGATACGTCTTATTGTGATCATAAGCAGCCCTGATCTCATCCGGCGTCGCACCAAGCGCATAGATTGTCAGAATATGGTGGACAATATGATCTGTGTAGCAGTAAAGGCAATATTAGACTTCAGTTGCTCTGTCGCTATCAGAACCCCAACCCGCAGACTCACTATGAAATCCGCTCTCGTTGAAGAACATATGGTGCTTCTCCAGATTTTCTTGCAGCACCTCACTTGCTGCGCGCGCAGGGTCCTCCCTCAGCTCGACGCTGAAAATGCCCGAGTTGGCCGTCGACAACTGAATCTTCCTTGCCGTAGCCATCGTTGAGCTCTTACGACCGGCAATCGGACCAAGTATGTTCGTTGAAGGAAAAGAGTACCGCGTAAGACAAGACCTCGAATATGTACGCTTAGCTGCTGCAGCCAAAAAGCTCACTCGTGTATCAGACACTGAAGCAGCAGTTGACACTCTCCTGAAGCTAAGACACACTGGACCTAATATATCCTTTCTCTGAAGCACTAGCGAACAAGATGTTACGAATCGATGACATAGATCAATGCATCTAGACCCCGTTCGTGGTGGATGCATGAATAAGCTGGCATATGACCCTGCAGATCATTAAGCTGTATTTGTCCGTGAACGACGAATCAACGAGGACTTTACTTGTTATTTGACTGTCCAAGAACTATGATAGCATGATATTCTCCTCTTGCGCTCAAGCGGGGGTTCGGCGTCTCGGTTCTTGGGTGGCCGCTGCTACGTCATTTGAGGATAGTGATATGTCAGCATCACTAGCAGGGCTAGTTAGTTGCTTTGCAAGAACTCAGTCGTACAATTGTCGAGTGTGGAGTTGAGAGGGCGGGGTAACTACTCGTCTTCATGCTGCTGCAGCGCATGATGCTTGAGGAATTAGCAAGCATGTGCTTCTAGATCTGCGAAAAGATCTTAGATTCAATCTCGTTGCTTACGATTCGTCTCCATGATAAGGCCTAGGGTTACATGACGGGAACGTTCAATATTCAGCTAGAATAGACAATCGGTCAGCTCACTCGCGAACTTTATATAGTCATAATGTATTTTGAAATGATCTAGGTTCATTCTGATTCAGAACGCGAAAAGTTGCAGTCTCTTTACAACACGAGCTGTATGTAGGCAATCACCGAATAATATCTTGAAGCTCCTTCTTCCGTTTCAGGCGTTCACGTTCCAATTTTCTGAACAGCGGGTGGTGGCCTGCTTTGTCCTTCAATTGCTTGTTCCTACTCTTGTTGTACTCAATATAGGCCATATCCTCGCCACCGGCCAGTCCACTTAGAGTCGCTGCGCTCCTCTTAACACCACCCTTGGCTCTACCCTTCGGTCCGCCGGAGCGCTCCGAGAAGAGATCGTCCGTGACATTCTCGACCTCGGCAGACGTCTCATTCTGCAGCATGACTTCCTGTAATAGTTCGCGGCGCTCGGCAGGAGTGGCATATGCGAGCCCTTCCAGATTCTCGATGCCTTGGAGATGGGTGATGACTTTGAACGCATAGCCCTGGTCAACGAGGAAAGCTTGCCGTTTCGATGAATAGAACATTTCATCGGTGTCCTTGGACACGAGTGAATAGAAGAAAGCATTGAAGCCCTCGTCATTGCGGCGCTTAGCTCGCAGGATCCGACCAAGTCTTTGCGCTTCTTGACGTCGGGAACCGTAATGTGAGGAAATCTGGATTAGGCAGGTGGCTTCCGGCAGATCTAACGATGTGTCTCCAATCTTGGAAAGGAAAATCGTGTTGACTTGCTCATTGTGTTGGAAGTTTTCCAAGATCCGCATTCGTTCGTTTTGGGGAGTCCCACCGTAGATATAGGCTTTGTTCAGTTTGAGCGCATACCGTTCGAGGGCGTACACGTTGTCAGAGAACACAATGACCTTGTCACCTCGTTTTTCGTGGTAGTCAATCAGGAACTGGCAGGCCTGGAATTTTCGGGGGTTCATGATGTAGAGTAAAGCGGCCTTTCGCGACTTTTCTCTCATGTATTCCGTGTAGAATTCCGTAGTCATCGGACACCACACCTCAGCGCACTGGACCTTGGCGATATGACCTTGCTCAGCAAGTTCCATCCAATTAGCTTCATACAGTTTGGGACCAATGAGGAAATTCAAATCCTTGATCTTATCGTCCTCACGCAGCAGAGTGGCGGTCAGACCCAGCTTGCTTTGCGTCGCAATGGCCGAGGTGACCTTCCGGAACATGGATGCTGGCACGACGTGCACCTCGTCGAGAATCATAAGACCCCATTCGCGCGATTGCATCCAATCCATCATCTTCTGGGCATCGTGCGACCGAGCCCTTGTTTGAGATACCATTGAATACGTGGACACAATGATACCGGTGGATCGACGAAACTTCTCTTTGTTGTCGGAGGTGAAAATTGCAATGTCACCCGGGTCGATATTTGACCAGCGCAAGAACTCATTCCTCCACTGGACAACCGACATGGAGCTCGTGCAAAGAACAATCGTCCCCTTTTTGATCGTGCAGGCAGCCGTGATGCCTACCAACGTCTTTCCCGCACCACATGGCAGAACGATAATGCCACTCTTTGCACGCCCATTACCGAACATCTTACTCAAGCTCTTCTCCTGGTAGCTCCGAATCCGGGCGTTGGGCTTCAGATCGATATCCAAAGTCGGGTTGATTTCGTCATTTCGAAAATCATACTCCTCAAGGGCGGGGCAGCCCATGGCCTGGCAACGCGCTTTGACAGACTCCACGGCTTCGTTCGGAATCTCAAAGCTATGTACTTGGGCTTGTTCATCGTCGTCATCATCATCGCGGATAGCGAGGAGAATATCATCCTCTTTACGCTCTTGGCCCGGGACGCCGTTCGCTGGCTTTTCCTCCGAAGTCTGTTGTACACCAGCAGCATCCTTGGTTCCGGGAATCACAAGCCCACCCATTTTCGGAGCCGCTTGCTGGATGATTCCCTCAGAACCATTCACTCTTTGTTGCCCAATAACCTCATCTTGGAGGAGCATCTGAAGCATCGCAGGGTCCGTACTTTCGACAAAGAAGCGGTTGTGTTTCAAAACCACCTTGATCTTTCCGAAGGACTTGGTGAAGTCAATAATGAACGACTTGACGGTATCTGGCAGTGGCGTCTTGGACAACCGATCAAGGAAGTTGATGATGTCAGTGGGCTGCAGGCCGACGGACACGGCCGCATACAGACTGTTCCCAGTCAAGCGGTATTCGTGCAAGTGCGTCGGGCGAGAAAGAGGTTCGGCGATCGTGGTCAGAAAGTCTTGTGCCTGAGGCGCCAGTGGGGAGAAACTCTCCAGCGTGATGGTGCCTTTCAGCGGATCAATCCACAAAGGACGGTTCGCATGGTCCGGTTTCAGGGCGAGCGAGGAGAAGTCTTTGTAACCAAAGTTGGGATCGTGTTTCGAAACAGACGGGTTTTTCTTGTTGCTGAAAGACTCGAGGGAGAATTTGTCCACGACATCTGTATAAGAGACTGTCAGCAATCTGACATCGCCTGTTACAGATATGAGAGCGCTTGCCTTTCAGATTATCGTCCTTCTCATCCACGTAGTCCGAGTATTCATCGCTGCTGCCGACGTCCTCAATCCCCGGCACAGGAGTCGCGCGTTTCGAAGCCCTGCTTGACCGACCGCCTAGCTGATGGTCAGCCTTCCATCCAGATATATTTCGTCACTGAGCCCATACTGTCTGTAGCCTTGCGTTTAGGAGGCATGATGTTTGAAAGTTTTCTTCTATTCAGGGAGTGGTATATATCGTCTATGCTATAGAGTGTGGAAATCTTCCGTGAACGAACGAAACGAGTGCAGATGCTCGATGAGGCTACCAGCGCCTCAAGTGACTGTTCGGGAGGTAGTCATTCCTCGATAAGCTGCAAGTCGGCAGACAGCTTGAGCCGCTAAGTCGAGTAGCGAGGTGTCGAGAGAGCGATGCGAAATGCGCAGCGAAGGCGATGATGAGGGTGAAGAGAAGATAAAGGATGAGAGAAGTCAGAAACCAAATGGAAAAGAAGCATGACGCCTTTCTTCTGTTACAGCCTCAGGCATTCGACGGGTGGCGGAGTACGAGAGCTCTGCGGTGATTTGATTGGCCCGGGTGGAAGTGGTCTTCGGCCGGTTGACGTAGTATCTCCGAGCTACCGTAGGTACATTCGATTTCCTTTCATCGGCACTGCTACTTTAGAATTTTCACATATTGCGCCCGTTCAAATTACATTTTGAAAATGAATACGGTACGTACTGCTCTAGGACTCAACATCGTCGGAGAAGAATATTAGCATTGACTTTGTTGGGGTTCTCTTGATGTAGATCCGATCAACCTGGTGAGCAGATACTATCTGCACAGTTCCATTCAGCAATTGTAGAGAGAAGGAGACGCCTTGCTAACTTCAATTCATCATTGGCACGTCAACAGGGTCGGCTGGGGAGCTCTTTGCGTCGGTAAGTCTCTCATTTCACTTTTGCCTCGCTAGTCAACAATTGCAAGTTACTCGAGGAGTACCAGCAACTTACAAGCCTGCAGCTGGCGGCGGAGCCTATTACTTTGCCAAAAAGTCCATCAATGCGGACCGTGCATCCAGATATGAAGCAGAATTGAAGAAGAAGGCGCAGCTTGCCGCGATGGAAGCAGAACATCGACGCCAATCTACTCTCAACGAGCCGACCATCCCACCGTCAGAAAACCCCAGCTTGAAACGGGCGAACATGGCTCGCTTCCAGAGTGCAGCGGATGATGTCGCTTCGCCTAGTGCAGAGGCAGGACATGATCCTGCGCCGACTCGTCACGAACCTGAGACAGAGGCCGACCGGGTACTCGAGAAGGGGAAATATGAGGCTACTCAGCCGTTTCGACCTCCGAAGGGCAACCGACTCTAGAGCGATGTACTGGTTTTGTTCAGCGAGGGCACGTCAAACGAAGGTGTATGAGGAAGCCACCTAAACGGTTGTAATAATACACCGTCGTTGGATGTGATAAGCTATGTACCATATTCTCTGTGTTTTTCTGCACTTCTTCACCTCGTATATCATCCTACCACCAATGACTGTTGTTACCGAAGACCAGTGAGAGTACAGGCATCATGTCATCATCCAGATGCATCTAATAGTGATGGCAGTTGGTCACCATCACCCTGAATTGTGGATTAATGTTCTTGTTCAAGATGGATATTGTGTCGTATTTCAAAATTAACTAATTGAAATAAAATGGATATTCATTAAACCCACTGAGCCCCATAGAGGCAATCCCAGAACACCAGTAACGTCCAACAACCATGCATGGCCCGCCTGTTAGAGCCCCATTAACCGTTCCATATATTTGCGTCGAAGCCGCCAGTAACCCGCTGACAGCGCCCTCGAAGGGTAAACCGGAAGACATAATAACAATTTCCAAGTTGAGGGAAAGTAGCCCTGTCGAAAGTTGTCAAAACCCCATAGTCTGTGCACTTCAACGAGCATGGAAGCAAAGAGGTGGATGCAGTCTGAGACAACATCAGTATACTGATGTTGTGGATTGGCGATTTTAGAGTACAGGGAAAGGGAAAGTTCACTTGTTTGAATATGTCTTGTCCTTTTCGCGGAAGCTCTCCATCGCCGGAGGAACAAATGGGAGAAGGACTGCAGAGACAAGACAGGAACTGGCTATGAATCTGGAAGTGCGAGTGTGTGGTGGAGGACGGCGGACAGAGAAATGACGGATTGCAGGACGGATGGGAATTGAAACGGACATTTTGACCGTGAGCTTAAAAGAAGAAGGTTGTTTGCGCTGAATGGCTCTGTTGTAGAGGTAGAGAGGTCCCTTATGCTTTCTTCAGGTGTGTTTGGTTGTTTCCGAAATAATATGTCTGCTGCTGGTGGAGGTGTATACTGAGGGATTCAAGGTGTTTCGCGTGGGTAGTATCGCGAGAGACTCGATAGTGAGTCGGTAGCCTGAGAAAATGCGAAATGATACAAGGGACAGCCGAGATTATATGAACATCATATCATGGGTCCTACATGCCTAAATATAAATTACCCTGAGCCTCTTAGGGTACTTACAACATGCAATCCAACATCAGTTGCAACCCTGGTGAGAGTAGGCTGCGGGGATCCATCAACAATGACCCACTTTGAGTGATGATGGCAGGGAGGGAAGAGTGGCGTGAACTTGAAAAGGAGAGGATAAAGCCTCTCGCGAGCGAAAATCAATTGTTGTAAATGGAGGCGGAGCTGATCCACGAAGGTTGGAGTCTGATCAGATCATCCATCTCCTACACATCCATCGGTAGATGATCGGAAGGCGGGGGCCGAGTGGTCACACTCTGTCACTTTCATAAGTACCTTGAGCTTCTTAGTGATGTTGGCTCTTCATGTCTGAAACTGTCTACCAAACAGAGTAGATACGTTGGTGACAAGAAATACCACGCCCAAGGTAGCGTTTTCGGAGCCTAACACCCGACTACCATGCCCCTGGCCAAGTACACGTAATGGAGGTACATCCTCACGCCATCGACAGGCAGATGATGGTGAGATCCAGCCGGACGAATCACTGCGGGGCCGACGAGAAGCGTGCTGTGGCTGTAATACCAGGGTAGATATATATTGTCCTAATACTTTTAGGGCCATGCAGTCCATGGAGCCGTTGAAGCAATTCTCGGCGAGTCATGGCTAGGGCTGATGGCGGGATTTCGTTTTCCGAAACCAGCATATGTTGACAGCATCCAGTTGGTCCATTATTGTTGCTGATGGATTTGTTGAACCTGACTCATCGGTGAAAATCATATCATCTAAAGAATCTTGTGTCTCGAGGTTGGTGGCCTTGAGCCTTTCTTTTGGACTGTGTCTCGTAACTGTTTGTGCCTGAGGCATAAATGCTTATACTTCAACATCCGAGGTGATCATGCCACTCTCTACAAGTTACAACCATCTGGGGATTCAATTCGTGTATCCCTCGGGAAAAAACATGAGCTTAAAATGAGCTCTTAGAGCGCCCACGTTTGCCCTTGAAGGTCTTCATCGTAGATGGATCGAGAAGTGTGAGAACTATGAGCAACGTAAAGTCAGGTCACGTGTAAAAGAACGGATCCCGCAATCGAGTCCGAAATGTCGCTGGAATCATATTCTTCTAGCTGACAACTCTCCTCTTCCTCCCCCACTTACCACAGCAATGGCCTCTCATCAAGTTGCCATTGCAAAGGCATCCTTTTCCGCTGGGCTTTTACGCCCCGACCCCACTTCTGTCCCGCGCGATGAAATCACAGCCTTCCACACTCTCCTTGACACGGCGCTGTCGCATTGCTCCGTAGCGAACATCCAGGTTTGACTTGTCGAGTCCTGCCCGTCGGTGTTACTGGAATACTAAACTTTTCACTCCCGACGTGTATTAGAAATGCAAGACATGGCTCTTGAATTATGTCGTCTCGTCATCTAACCGCGTGGGTGTCTGGGCCAAATACCTGGTTGCTTTGTCCAGTTCGTTTACCACCGGGGAAAATGGACAACCGTCCAAGCCGGCAGAGTCTCGTCCTGGCACCTCGTCAAAAAGAAAGAGGCTGCATATTCTGTATCTGCTTAACGATCTTTTCCATCATACCAAGTACCATACGGATACCCCTGCGGCATTCTCAACCCTGAGTGGTTCGCTACAACCGCATATCGTGGAACTACTGGGTTACGCTGCATCCTACGATCGATCCAAGAACCCAAAACATCATCGGCGCTTAGACGATCTCTTGGATATATGGGAGAAAAATGGGTACTATGGTGCCGACTATGTCAACAAGCTGCGCGAGGTTGTCAAGAACTCGGCTGTGTCTGGGCCATTCAAGTCATCCATCGATGTGGAGCAGAACAACACGGACACGATCAACCGACCCGTAGAGAAGAATGTCCCTTTTGTGATGCCGTCGTCTCACGGAGACTCTTCTACTCCCTATTATGACCTCCCAGCCGGCAATCTTGTCCCGCACATCATTCCCGATTCCACGGTTCCCCTACGCCCAGATACCATCAAGCCTTTGCAGTTCCTGGCTGGACCAGCGGACGAGAAACTGGTGACGGCGCTCAAGGCATTTCTTAAGGATGTCGATCGGATGTACAGCTCAGGACAAACAGAGCAGAAAGAGAACGAAGTAGTGGACATTGATGAAATGGGCCAGACAATTGTCCGAGATAGCTCCACGGGAGACATTGTGGGCGGTGACACGTACTACGGATGGTCGCGTGCCTTTTGTCAGCAGATGAAAGAAAGACGAACCAAGGGCAGCTCGAGAAACCGCACTCGGAGTGGCAGCCGCAGCCGCAGCCGCAGCCCCTCAAGGAGACGCCGCTACAGTGGCAGTTCAGAGAGTGACGACAGCCGATGGAGGAGCTCAAGCTCCCGTAGCCGATCGGCTCCGCGCAGGCATGAAGCTAATGAACTGCGTTATGACTCTCGGTCTCGTTCTCCACGAAGAACACGGTCCCGAGAGAGGTCGTATTCTCCACGCGCTCCGTCCCCTCCTCGATACCCACACCCTGAACACCAGAGCCCTCAATACGGCAGCTCAGGGCCCCAGGGATTTCACCCTTCTCAGCGTCCACCTCCACCGCCTATGCATTTCCCTCCGGGCGGGAACGTGCCACCCGTTCCGCCTGCGTTTCCCCCACGGATGGCACCAGGCGCTCCCCCACCTCGCCCACCAAATTATCAAGGCCAGTGGCCTCCACCCCCGCCTCCGCCATTGCCATCGATGCAATTTCCTCCTCAGGGCCCGGGAATGAACCCGTCTGCATTTCCGCCACCTTTTAACGCACAAGGACAGTTACCTCCGTGGAACATGGGCTCGGCACAACAGATGCCCCCGGGTTCAAATCACTTCCCTCCGCCTCATCCTGGGGGACAGGGACGGGGCACGTCCGATCAGTGGAACCAGTATGGTGGTGGATACCCGCCGTCTGGCCGGGGCTGGAGGTAGAACTAGGCGGGTGAAGAATCTACTGTACATTAACTCTACATTCTGATGGTGCACGAAATATATCTTAAACTCTCCTGCAGCAATCACAATTGCGGGAGAAAAATAATATTACAATTCAGTCTCCAAAACTTGCAAAATCGGTATAATGCTATGACACATCAGAAAAATGTAAGAAACGCAACAAAAAGGCTGCAAGCACGGAAAAGAGCACACGAAGAACAGCAGGCCAATATCCGCACCATGGCCCGCCCACATCATACTATCCACACGAAGAACGCATTATGCCCTCCCTCCATCATACATCACAAAAGTCCACCTTAGATCCTAGTCGGCGCCGCCGTCACCTTCGCCCTCGAGAAAGACGAGCCCATCAGCCCGACGCCGACCGGCGTCGGACTAGGCGTAGCAGACGGCGACATCATCATCCGCTGATACTCGGAAAACCGCCTCTGCTGTCGCTCGATCGCCTCCCGCTCATGCTTCTTCGCGAGCGCAAAGTCCTGGCAGGAAGTCTGCATGAGGTTGTCTGCGCCCTGTGAACAAAGTCAGCCGTCAGCCGATTCCGCCCTCAACTGGGAATCGCTTTTGAGGGATTGTATGCAACATGCACTCACAGCAGCCGAAGTATCACAGCACATGACTGCATTCGCGCAGTCGGTTTCCGGGGCCGCGTCGGCCATGTTCTCGCCTTTAGTATGATTCAGATCAGCACATGCGGGATACACCAGACCATCCAAAAGGGAAGGAACTTACACGACAGCCCGACCAGCGAACTCAGCTCGATCGCGCCTACGAGCGGAACGATCATCCCCAATGGTTTGAGGAGGTCGTCGCCTACCTGGCTGAGGGTTGTACAACATTGCTTGAACTTGTTTGGGGGACAGGAATTAGGCCCGCTGAGTGTCGGCGAGGGGAGACTCGCTGACCCTGTTGACGATGGGGTCGATTTTGATGCGCTGGTTGAGTTGGATGCGTGGGAGAAGGGGACTGCGAGTGTGGTGGAGAGTGTAGAGAGGGCGCAGAGGATAGTTAGAGGACGCATTTTGGTTGATTATCACTTTTGTTCGTTTGTCGAGCTTGTGGTTGGCGCGTTGCAGAGTTCGACGTTGGATTGTGACGCGAGTTAGTTGGTAGGTAGGTCCGAGAAATATACAATCATTCAGAGGCGGGTTTCGAAGGAAGGGAAGACGAGGGCGGATTGTCGGATCGGTTAGTTGGTGAAGGGGTCGATTGTCCGAGACATTGCAGGTAGAAGTGTCGTTATCCTTGTTCAAGGTTGGCAGAAGCAAGTGTTTCATTGACTGTGAACCATACCTCAGTGTTTGGATCACACGTCCAAAACAGGTATGGATGGACGTCAGTGGTATAACCGCGTCTTTGAACATGTAATTTGTTTCTATGGAATGTTGTCTGAACCCCGATCTAGTATGAATGGAATGCGCGCGCGAGATCCATCGGGAGCTGTTCTGACGGCATTGCAGAGATCGGGATTTGAATGCGAATGAGAAAATCACAATTCTGGCATTTAAGCAGCATCTTTGAAGGTATATGACTGCGGCTATCCTGTGTCTCTACAGGGTGCAGTCTCTGATTTTTTTCAAGGGCGAAGCTGTTGCTGTTGGTTCATGCTTATCCCTTCCATACATCCTGGAATAGAGTCACGATGGCTAGTGGTCATGCTTATTCCAAGGTGAGTGATCGGTTGAGTCGGCCACCCTGCCCATGCAAGGGACTACATTGACCAGAAACTCGAGCCCTCCCCTGGACCTACGTTTCGAAACAATACCTACAATTGGTTCAGCGTCGACCCTAGTTAGCCCAGAATTACCCAATTAATACCGTGCATAAATCCTCGAGGGCCGCCCTAGATTCACTAAACGTAGCCGCGAGTCATACCTAGAACACATCATGAGCAGGAAGGCCGTAGCATCGTACCAATATAGAGTCAGTAACGGGAAGACCAGTCCCCTTCCACCCAGAACGACCAGAAAAATCACGCTGGCAGTAGTGAAATAGTGCTTTATAGAAAGAGTGGACTCTCTCTCCGCCTGAGAAGATGAATCATCATGGACCAGCAGAGATATCCTGGGATGAGATGCTGTTGTACCAAATTTGGTGACTGACTGCCTGCTGTCAGAATATGAAGGCATACACCGAGCAGCTACAATCAATAGGTGAGGGCGAAATGGTTGGGCACCTGTATCAGGCCAAAGGAATGACAAGAAATGAAGATGACGAAAAATCAGAGCAGAAGTGGGGGGTTTAGCAACTGGGGAGCCACTAGATAAAGCCACCTTGGAAGGAATCCCCAATCAACCTCAAAGAGGTTTCGAGGGCGAAAGTGAATTCTGTCGGAGATGGTTGGTATCTACTATGCCGCATGTATCAGATGCCAGGACGTATTTGAGAAGCGAAAAAATGAGCATCATCGGTTCAAGTGTAGTAACAAGCGTGCTCTAATGGTATGAAAAAAAGTCAAAAGAGGCAGTTGAACAAGAAAGGGGGCGATGATCTCGGCGACAGAGATCGAGAAAACACGCTCGGAAAGGATCGCCTCGCTGTCGCTAGAAAATCGTAGAACGCTTCCTCGCTAACTCATCAAAACGCCGGAAAGATCGACTAGGAACAGAGTTCCTGGCCATTGAAACTTCCCATTAAAGCACCAACACGTCTTCCATCGAAGAAAGAAAACACCGCATCATCATCGTCATCATGGTTAGTGGTCAACGACATATGAGAGGAGTTGGATCCCGCAACACCACCCTGTAGTCGTTGTTGGCCCACGAACATGGAAATTTAAAGCCCTGTCTTCGGTTCGCCAGCGTGCTTCACGGGCTGATGACCGGGTGTCTGGGAAGTGCGATGGTGAGAGGCTCCGAGAGAGGTAGGAGCTGCAGCCTGACGGGCCAGCACACCACTGGTTGAGACATCACTATTGCCGCTGCTGTCGCTACTCCGGCTGCTGCGACTGGGGGGAGGACCGCTGTCGTTGCCCATGTCCAGGAAGGTCGACATGCGTCGCTGGGTATACTGCAGCATAACGCGGTTGTAGTCTCCAATAGACATATTAGGATCCACCGATCGTTGGGTTTCAATGTGGGTCTCGGCCGGAGGTCGACAACCCCCTCCGTCAACGGGGAAAGTTGGGTCCGTGTTCTTGGGTTGCTGCATGGCCGCGAGTTTGCCTTGCGTTGTTCTCTATGAGACACTGTCAGTCTTGCTGATATCGATCATTCTCCCAGTGCCTTAGCCACTCTACAACATATCAGCCGGCGATATGGGGGATTACGCGGGACAGGATCGTCATGGTCGCCCATGTTGTCGAATCACTTGCTAATGATGTGACGCAGACGGTTTCAGATGTGCTTCAGCCCCGTTGCTGCTGCCGCTGCTACTGCTCCTCAACAGCAGCAAGAAGTAAAGTGCCGGAGAAAAGGTCGGGAGGAGGGGAGGGAAGACTTCTTGAGTGGGACACGATAAGAATTTTGCACGCTCACCTTTTCCGCAAGAAGAGTCAGCAAGGGGGCAAGTGCCACAAAGGACGAAAGAGAGGAAGTTAGACGGCCTCGAAGTCGTAAGAAGCAGCAGAGGACACAGGCGATGTCAAGATGAGGACAAACGGGATACTAAGGAACGAAGCACAGGATGTGTCAGGAGGGGAAAGACACGCAAATACCCTAGGGTCAACATATGACTAGTACGGATGTGGCTTGGACACGGGGTTTTGATGCAGACACAGAATGGGTGAGACAGATGTCACTTGAAATATTCTATCTTCGTGCATCAATATTTCCGAAGATAATTCTCGAGAGTAAGGGCATATATCCCCCTTCGGGTCCGACATGAGATCACAGTCCCAGTGACAGCCACTCCCCAAAAGGCAGAGGGTAAGAAGGAGCTTGACTGGCATATCTCATCCGGACCCACAGGCGGGCGAACCATCGATCAATACTCAAATCGGGGGATACCCACGTCCAGTATTGCTGGAAACTGGAGTCCTCTGGGGCTCGAATCGGATGACATCATTGGCCAGAACATCCAGCCGACAGTACTGACACAAAATTAGAGGAAGAAAAGAAAAGGCGGAAGGGAAAAGGATTTTGGAGGATCTTTTTTCAATTTACCTCGGACTCGTCAGTAATAATACAATCGACGGGACGCTGTCATGTAGTTAATCCTTTTTAGGAGGCACTGTACACTGAGGATGGCTGGGATTGGCAATAATAACAGACTCCACCACAATCTGATGGGTTGGCGGACCCCCAGATGGTCTTACGGGGGACCGGAATGAGGTCACTGGAGGGTCGGGAGTGGACCACAAGAAATTGATGGCGCTTTTCGATCGACAAGACGAGGCAAACCGTCCCTGCAGATCACCACTGGGAAACAATACTGTCAATGCGGTCGATCCGTTGTAATTGGAGTCTCTGAGGCCCAGATGGTGTTGAGGCAAGCATTCAAGGAAGTTGCTGAGAGATTGTTGTCTGCATGGTTATCCGCGCGGAGATGAGTGCCTGGAAGCTATCCATGATACTACACAGCCAAACTGTGTTGATCCATTCTAAGAAACATAGGACCCGAGGTGCCAATGAATCAATGAATCGAGTTTAGTTGTCATGCTAAATCATTAGTTGGATGCGAGTTTGATCCTGGTGGCTCCGTGCACTGTATTCAAAATAGCTTGAAAGCGAGATAGGTTCCTCGGCCGTTGGGGAGAGCTCATCTGTTGAGGGACGAATAAGAAGCAGTCCATGCAGAGAGTATCCCGCAACAAATCGAGTATAGTGTCAGGCTCATGGCCGTTAGAGGCCTAGAACTATGCTGTAAAACAGGTGGTTAGGCCGCATAGCGAAGACAGATTGGTACTGTACAATTGTGCACTGACGATTCATCAGACAGACCGAGAGATCAGCCAATGCGAGGTTGTCAGGGCGCTTGGTCAGTTCGCTCAATGATAACCTAGGCCAACTAGGCAGGCAGGTGGTTGAAACAGAGAACGGCCTGTGGTTGAAGCTGTACATCGGATCCTCATTCCTCTTGGTGCTTCCTGTGCATGAATTGAAGATGACATGCTTGTGTCTGTGCTGCTCTACGCCATCAGCCTGGGTGAAGTTTCGATGGATTTCCATCTTGTCGTTTCTGGCGGTGGCGAAAAAGCACGAGCCTGGGTACCTGAGGTAACTGAATGATGTCATGTGGCTTGTGCCACAGCCTACGGGTACTACGAGTACATCAAGTATAGATGCTACCTTATATATCTGCTGGGAGCCGATGACTCCTGTAGATGAATAGAAATATGAGCATATTGAATATGAGATCTCGATCTCTGTCTATAACATTTTGCAGTAATTGGAAGACTGCATGGTCTTGGACCCAGGAGCTCGGAACTGTAGACAACGATGATCAGTGTGCGGAGTATGGGTACTTACCTACCGCAGCCACAATCTTCGAGTTTGTCAACAAAGCTTGCGACGATATTCAAAAGAATCTTATGGCAGCAATTCAAAGTTGAAGGTTCAATATACCTTGGTAATCTCCGGCCAAGCCATGTCGGCAAATGGTTAATCTCGCCTCTGCGGTAGTATAGTTAAATTAGTCCAATATATATTGTCCCCATTTTCTCCCTCCCTCCCTCGCAATCCTTTTCCGAGGCCAATAGAAGCCAATAGTCTCCCCTTCGGCCCATGGATCGTGGACCGTGGAGAGAAAAGTAAGAAAAGAAATACAAAAAGAAAAGAAAAAGAAAAAACATGCAATTTTGCCACCTTCCCCCCTCGCTCATGTCTGTCATTTTGTCAATGCATCGCCAACTTTCGCTCGCTAGGGAATGCAACGTGGATATTCTGACTGATCTGTGGTTTAGAGCTGTCAATACATCAATAGTCGACATCGACATCTACAGATCTTGGAGACTGGAGTTGAAGCACCTAACCTAATGTGGTCATATACTTACTTACTAGTTTCATGGCGCATTCGCGACCTTCCGATGAATTTCGTGGCCCCATAAGTATAGTACCAGCGGACGAGGCTAATGACGCAGAGGAACCTGCTCTAGGAGGAGGTAGAAGGCTAACGTCCCTGCTGGGTCTTTTGCCGATTGATTGGCACCAAGGAAACCCAAGTGGGAACGGCACCATATTCGAAAATGGGCATATTGGCATGCCCACTTGACGTTAACGAGGTTCTAGATTCCATGATGTTTGTCTCGACGCAGTCGTGGATTTTGCTGAAATCGGATGAGATCGGCGGTATCAGATCTTCTCCCGGTCAGGCAAGTCACTCTAATCCTTCCCTCTCCTACGCCGTATCATCCATCACTGGTCGCTTCTCTGAAGGCCATCTTTTCGTATCCCGAGTCCAAATCCGGAGTCCATTTGGACCACGCCAAGAGCGTGGTTATCCACAGGAGATCAAAGGCAGAACCCTTCGAGTACGAATGATATTTCGTAGTGTAGGTACTAGTACTCAGACAATTGCCATGAATATGGTGAGAGCAGTAGAGCAATGTGGTCCCGAGCATCACCTATGATGTCCCTGATGATATCACATTGTTTGGGATGGATGAGGAACGAAATCACTGCGCGACACAGAATTTCGCCTAAGAACAACACCTGAAATGGCAGCCTGTAGGACAACGGCATTTGCTGAAGTACCCTCTGACCTCTTGAGAGATATTCACTGACAACGCGAGACGCCCGCACCCGGACTGCTGGGATGGTCCAACTTTTCCAACCGGAGTGGGTCAGCTTCAATGACCAGTACAGGAGTGATACAGCGACTCCCCCTTACATGAGAAACAGAGGATGTATGGATATCTAGAGGGTAGATGAAGTAAAAAAGGATGAAGCCAGAAAGAACAGAATAATAAAGGAGAAAAAAGTAAAGCGCCCGATGGGGGCTCGAACCCCCGACGTTCAGATTAAAAGTCTGACACTCTAGCCAACTGAGTTAATCGGGCTATTGGATGGAAAGTTCTGAGGTTCTTAGACTTGTAAGCTGCCTAGCTAAGGTTTGCCTTGCGCATTGAACTATTTTGGTACCTACCTTTCTCTAGTCTCTATTGCCTAAATTTGGATACTCGTTAAGGTACCTTAGTGTGTGGGTTCTATGGTATACTTCACATATTATATCACCTGCATGTCTATAATTTTTCTCTCAAAACTCGCGGAAAGGCTAATGGAAAAAAGAAAAAAAAAAGAACCATCATTACCTCAGTAAGCAATCAGTATGATGGAGAGGCAAAAGAAACTCGCCCGATGGGGGGCTCGAACCCCGACGTTCAGATTAAAAGTCTGACACTCTAGCCAACTGAGTTAATCGGGCTACATTGTTTTTTGCGCTGCCAGAAATATATTCACATCCTTATGAGTACTGCGTAACGTCTGTCCGTAGTCTGCTTGGGTACCAGGTTAGGTGTCGCAGTAGCAATCTGGGTGTGGATTGAACGCCCTACATCATCCTAGCTTATTTGCATAACAGATCCAGGCCATCTTACTCCTTGAGGAAGCTCCTTGCGAAAGCTCCTTGCGAAAGCGCGGTCAAGAAGCCCTAGAAGGGCTTCTTTCCGGAACTTGGACCTCAGCAATATCAAAACGAGCGACTGGTTTATACCATTTCGGAAACTTCAATCCATTCTCATTTGCTTGTTTCATGTCACTCCATACCCGCAACCGAAGATTATGAACCCATTTTTCATCGATCCTCTTTCCAGCAATAGCGGATCTCAGATATTGCTAGTTCTTTTCATCAAACCAAGACAAGGATGAACACCCAGCACCACTGAGGGTGGAAAGTCGTAACAGTTGTCCCAGAGTTTCCTTGCCAGGCTCATTCGAAGCTCATCTTGTTCTGTGGGTTCCTCTCATAGTGAACAAAGCTGATCAAGCAGGCGACGATCATGTATAATGTGAGCGACAGGAAAATGTATTCCACCGCACAGGTATACAAACACTCAATGGAGCAAACATTCAGGGAGCAAACACTCAGCGAGCTGCTCTAAGTGATATGCATCAGCATACCGCTTTTACATGGTTATGGCGGCTATAGTACGGCATAACTGCAGAGGGTTTGGGTATAGGTGCAGGCATGGCCGCAGGCAGTCTGTAGGATGGCCACTTATCACGCACTTAGAGATCATTCACCTTACTAGGAGAATTATGTCTCTAGTACTAGCTGTATAATAGTAGGTAGAATCAGGAGAATCAGGAGAATAAATAGCTTGCTATCATAGTTTGTCGCTATAATTAAATAACTTTACTAGTTTCAGTTATAGCTGGGATGTTGTCATCCAGATATAATTAGGTATATGCCTCCGTGTATTGTGGCATCCCACACCCGTCCCTGGTCTGGGGCTAGACAGATAGACAAGACTGAATGTTCCCAATCCTAGGGCAGACAAATCCACTGATGAGCACATGCTCTAACTCTACGCACTATACTGGAACCACTCACTTTTATTCTAATAAGGAACACCATCTTGAGCTGCCTGAGGCACATCGCTTCGCTGTCTTGCTCTTCTCTATAGATTACTCCTTAGCCCCTAGTCTGTACACATCGTTTAGGTTCGTTGCCCTGAACCGCTTATTGATCCAGTGAGGTCATTCCCTACATACTTTGCTGTACAGGTATTCGTTCAAACCAGATGGAAAACAGGAGTCGGGGAAAACCCCATGAGCGTTACAAGGTGCGCACTGACGCGGAGCATGATATCTCTTACCCCATTTAGGAGTACGAAAGCTTGCTACGCAATGAGTTTCGCCCTGCTCCATCCAAGGGCTAAGGTCGCCCGGTCATCGCTAACTTTGCTTGCAAGGGACACAGGCTTCAGCATCAAAGGTGCACTATTTCTAGATCTTATGACAAAGGGATAGATACAATTGTAGACACCGCAATTCAACAGACAAAACCATATTATTCATGTCATTCATCACACGTAGCCTGCAAGGACGTCAGTCAGATATGGGCTTGAATCAAGGAACGGAAAAAGACAATAGATCAAATACGGTGCCGAGTTTCATGCCCACGTAAGCAAGGGAATACATACCTTTCCGTGCACCCTGGAAGAAGAACCGAACAATAAACACCTGCAGACCAGCCATGGACACCATCATCAAGCCCTCAATCACACTGAAGTTGAAAATCCGCCTCTCTGTGCTGCGAACCGTGCTGAAATTGCGGTTCTCGCGGGTCCGGAAGTACTTCTGGTTGCGGGCAATAGTCGACAGCTGAGCGGACAGTTTGTAGATGGACTCTTCAAGGGCCGATGCCTGCTCGGGACTGGCACCTTGTCGTGAAGGCAATTGCGCGCGCTCCTCATTCTCGACCTACAAAGAATGTCCGAGTTAATGCGATAAGCCCCCAGTACATATCCAGCCACTGTGTATCCAAGGACCCGAACATACAGCAATCTCAAAGTCGACCATTTTCTCCGCGAATGTTGACATCTCATTGTTGAAGCAGAATCGGTACTCTCCAATGCTCTGAGCGGTGAAGACAAAGTCGCCTTGCCGCTCCTTTGTTCCATCTAGGATAACCTTCTCTCCAGGGCCAACGACTGAGTAATCGACATCAAAAGAGCCGCCGGATTGAACCTGGAGTCAATGCATTATCAGCCATGTTTTCCGTTTATCAAATCCTTGCGCTTGACATTTTCTGTTCCCAGGGGTGAGAAGAGGGAGAGCATACGGCAAAATAAAACGCAACCTTGGCATTCCTCTGGTCAACGTAGTTATAGAAGCAAGCCTTCTCGTTGGCCTCGAGTCTGTATGTTAGAGCGGTCGCCGTCACGGTCGAGACCAGAGTGGCCAGGAGACCTATCAATACAGTTGAGAATTGCATTGTGGGTTAGGAAAGAGAAAAGAGGGTCCGTAGTCAAACGGGGCGGCTCCCTTCACAAAAAAGCAGTTGACTCCAAACACACGCGACTTCCAACGGAGCTCAGGAGGAGTGGGAAGTTCTGGACAGCTTTGCGTTCCGCCGCCGTTTGTTGTGTTTGCAGTATACCACAATAGGACTAGTCCCCTCCATTCAGCAGGAAGCTTAATTTTGTAGGAGTCCTCCCCATAGTCAGATGACAACAGGCGTGGAGTGATAAGTGCCATACTATAAAACTATAATACTAAGAGCTCGCGACGAAGCAGACATAAGCGGGTTTGAAAGTGCTCGAATTCTGGTCTCCTGCAGGAACGGACACTAGGCCAACCCTGAAAGAAGATGTAAATAGTTGTAAGAAAACGCCAAGACATATAAATGATTGGCACAAGGGAGGACTACAAAGCCCAGCAGACCTTGGAAATATGGTATTTCTCAAGTATGAGGCATCAATAGGAATAGCATGCGTGCTATCTATAAGCATAGGTTTGATGGGAACTGCCGCCACCGAGTACATCGCATAGATCACCTCATCTATCGAATGAAAAAAGACTCGCTCCTGCTCCAAAAGCTCCGGCTTTTATTTACATGGTCCAGTCCCAGCAGATCGTCGGTTTCGCCAACAATGTCGGAAAGGATATCATCTGCAATTGTTATATTAGCGGCTCCATATCTTCGCTTTAGAAGGGAAAAATGCAAGACTTACCATCATCAAGATACCGCGGGTTAGAATACAAAGACTTGGGAACGACAGCAAATTTGATCTTCTCAAATTGTTTGCCTTTGATGCCGGTTCGTTTGGAGAGCCTCTCCTTCGTTTCCTTGAAGATCTCGCCCTGAAACGTGTGAGCACTAGTGAAAGCCAAATGCAGAAAATGGGATACGCATACTGGTTTCATGACAAACTTGAACGGGATACCATGCGGCCTGCTCGGCTCTCGGTCAAAGCTGAATGCGTTGATTGTCCGTTCGCCCTCCTGCATCTGAAGTTCTTCCTTGGGTATCCTCTCGGCGTATAAAGTCACGTACTCATTGATGCCAGCGATCTTGGCATCTTCTTGATACTCCTTGTAGATTTTGCCGCTGTGGGCCTCGAAGATCCGCATTTCTCGAGCCATATCATCTTCAAGGTTTGCCTTTTTCTGCAGACCCGCCAGAAGATCCGCGAAGGTGCCGTCCCGAGGCACTAGGACTTCAACCAATTGCTGATGTAAAAATGAGCATAAATGAATGACCCCAGAGCTCGATGATACGGCGAACTTACCTCTTTCACAATGCCTTCGGTGAGTAATGTTACTTTCAGTGTAGTTTTCGACTCATAATCACTGAGACTAGTCTCAAGGACTTCGTAGTACAGTGCATCTTGGCGATGCATACTATAACCGTAGCCACTGACCTGCCCACTAAGGATGTGGTACAGCGTTTGGTTGGCCTGGTTGGGATTGCGTTTAATGAACTGCTTGGGCTTTCCGGTACTAGCAAGAACAGGGGCGAAACGCAGGTGAGTGGATTCCACGTTGAGGTGCTCGCCGACCTTCTTCGAGAACTGGTCGTATGTCATCTTTCGGCTCAGAGTGAGAGTGAACTCGTCGCCATCAGTCGCTTTGATGGGAGCGAATGTGATATTTATCCTGTTCAACAAGTAGTCATAGTACTGCCTTGCATCCGTGTATAGTGCAGTGGATGGTAAGTCGGATTCTTTGACTGTGCGTTGGAACGTGATTATGTCGCCGTCTTGAATTTCAGACTGCTGGAAAGTCTGCTTCGGCTTCATCACATCGATCATGTTGTGCTTGATTTCCTCAAAAAGCATGAATTCCGTCCCGGCAGGCCAGTTCATTTTCTCGAGAATTGTCGGGGCGAGTTCTGCGACTTTCTGGTTCTTGCGGACGTATACGGCGCCGACTCCAGAAAGAGTCTGAGAAGGGACGTCAAAGTTCTTCAAAAAGACGAGAACAGAAGTACTGCTGTCAGGCCACGAGATGGTTCCATCCGCAGATGGTTGCCCAACTTCCATCCATACTTTGAACGGGTTCCCTTTGGTCCCAAATCTGCTGTAGGCATCTTCCACCGTCATTTCTGGGTCTTTGATGGCTTGGTCCGGGCGAGTCGTCTTGTTTTGACGGTTCACCATCACCCACAGCCTGATTTGGTTTGCGTTCAGACCCCGTTCTTCCGCAAGCTGCTCTACGAACTCGCCGACCTTCTTAGCCCGAAGAATCCTATACTGTTTCGGCAGGGCGGGATCGCCGGCCGGTAGGTCCGTGCTCGTCAGATCGAATCCATGATGTGACTTGTACGACTCGTCCGATAGAACTCCCACATTGATATACAGGTGAGCCTCTTCTCTCTCCTTCTTTCTGCGGAGAAGCTCTGCCCGCTCCTCTACTAAACGGGTTTCTGATTCAATGTCAAAATGTCTGGTCGTAGAAGAAGAGAATGCAAAGGCTTACCAATGTGAGAAGGAATATCGTCCTTTGTAATCGGCAGAAGGACATCATCCAGGCGTGTTTTCCGAATATAGACCAACATGTAGGCATTCATTGACCGTTTGGTCGACAGACCCCGTGTATGTGGTTGCCGGACGCCGGCCGCACCATTGGATAGTTCATATTCACCACCATAGTTCTCCTCAAGTACCTCCTTGTCAGTGGCCCGGGTCACACGGTCGTCGTCGAATTTGTACCAATGGCCGTCCTTGGTAGGCTTCAAGAATGCATAGTAATGGCCAGCGTTCAAATCACCGCTGTGAACTAGAACACCGTGCAGCTGATAGACCCACGGTTCTGATTTGTCGGCAGCATCAGAGAGATATGGAGTCGCGTCGAATTCCATGGGGAAAGCGTGACGGTCATTGATCTTCATCATTGCATCGCGATTAATGTCATATTCGAAACGTTTCAAGTGCAGATGAAGCACAGGAGGGAAGCTCTCGAAGATAACACCTTTCTTGGCGTCTTGCAAGCCGTAGGGAGAGCCTGCATCGTACTTGTTCTCGCCCTCGAGGGTTTCCACCTGAATGTAGTCCTTGAAACTGTCGTCGAGTGTCTTGTTGCCTCGGACATTGAGTTGGATATCCCAAAAGTCTTCCACGCGCGACGATTCGTAGTCCACGTTGATACAAGAAATATAAGTCTTCGTCTTGCCGACGAAAAGTTCAGGCAGTGCCTTCTCTACTGGTGTCGCTTTCATCTTTTCTTCCAATCTTTCCATGAGCTTTCTGGAAAGTTCCTGGACATCTTGCTGTTCGAAGATTTGCCGCGATTCCCAGCCAAATGATGCCGTCAACTCTGTTGTCGAGACAGAGTTTTCGCTCGTTTGAAGATTGTAGAAGAGCCTCTGGAGTGTCCAGGCACTGTTCTCTCGCGTCGCTTCTTCCTCCGTGGGGATTTGGTACACGGCCTTCGAAAAATAGTCAATATCTCTAACAAAAATCTAAGAAGGGGAGTCCTTACCTTGCGGAAAGCATTTGTGAAATACAGGGATTGCAACAAGGAGTTGAGGTAGCACGTTGCGCCCTGATTTTTCAACCCCACCATACCAGTCTCCTTCTTCGAATCGTAACTAGGTCGAGTAAGCCTCGTACGACGCTGACATGTTCAAGGCAGTACATACTTTTGGAAACTGTGCCAGAGAACCCCTGTCGGGTCCTTCACAACACGCACGTAGGCCGTGACTTTAGCTTCATCATTCTGCACCAAGGGCACTCCACGGCCTTCCCACGGCATGTTGAAAAGCCTGCGCAGCTCACAGAACCTGGTAAAACCCCAGTCGCCCTCGTCGGCATTGAAACGGTGCGTAGCGACTGCATTCAGGTTCAGAAGGACGAAGAGAAGAGAGCACAAGGACCAACGAGGTACCTACCATGAGATACGTAAATTGATGGGTCATTGACGTTCCACAATACCAGAGCAAACTGGACGCATGCATACCAGTTTTCCGAAGGCTCCTTTTCCCAGGCATGCTCCAGATAGAACGAGGCAAAATCGACATGATTTCCGTAAGGGAAGAAAAGAACCCGCCTGTTAAGCAATGTCAGACGGCGAGAACAATCGGAGTACTCTTCAAATCCTCAACTCACCATGGGAATCCCCCACACTGGAATACTGGTCCATGTTCCTTCTTTTTCAACTTCCGCCAATCCTGGATGTGCCATGTGTGGTATGCCTCGTCCGCGGTTTCCAGGTCCGGATCCTTAGGAAGTATGCGCGCCATCATTGCCGGAACTAAACCAGTGCTTAGTACAATGCCTTCGAGTCATTGCGAGGGACGAGGTGTGTGGATCTAGGCGCCAGCAATTGACTTTTGGATATTCGACCCTTGCGCCAGGACCGAGGTACTGATCCAGAGCCATCTTGAACAAATGTGGGAAAGTGTATAACATCTAAATGGCACGGTAGACAATCTTACAGTCATCCGCAAGGGGCTCTGGTTCCGGCTCCTCTGATCCGGAGCGAGAAACCACGACATCATCTGTCCTGTCATTGTGATACTGCTCATATTCATCGACGAGCATCTCATTATCCGCAACCTATAAGACGAAAAGTACACATGTCAGATACTGGTAAATAATGTCTCATCGACTCTCGATCGTTCCTCTTCTTTTTTATGCGGAGTCAGGAATGAACGGGGCACTGACGTTGTCCATGAAGAAAGAAAAGTGCGCTCAAGCACGTCACCTGAAAATACCGTCAATCAAGGACGCGTTGGGGAGCTACCCAGGAAGCAAACAGAGGAGAAGGGGAACAACAGTCAGAACAGTGATAAGATGAGAAGAATATGAATAAGAGAGTGACACAAGACAATGAGTAAGTGGTGAAAAGAGATCTGAAGGACCAGATTCCGGTTCATAGGAGATGAAGCTAGTGGCGGAGTTTCCAGAACCCAATAAAAACAGGTGGGACACATGAGACCGCCTATGAATGAGGTCCTCTGCAGAGTACTGCTCCAGTGCAGCAATCTAAACGTAGCACCTGCAGAAGAGATAAATGAGGATTAATTTGTCTAAGTCAGTATTACTGGTTGGTTAATGTTCTACTGGTCTGTCTTGCATTATCGCCTGTGTAAACTCTCACTTAGGTAAGCTTAGGACAGGTTATAGTTAGATGCCTCAAGCTTGACGGTATAGTCTGGTGCAGCGACCAACAAGGCGTTGAAAACTATGTTACTCTGTTATCTTTTGACTCTTACTCGCCAGGGACTTCCCGGTATCTAATCTTGCTCCTGGTATCTCATAGTGAGAGCATGAGGAACGAGAATCATGGAAGGTAGACCAACAACTGGCTACACAGTTGTGTCCTCGAAGATTATGTCACTTGTGATGCATGCCCCAGGCAAAAGCCGAGGAACAACCAGGCACCAAAGCGATTACTAAGCTGGGAATGGGTGGTGCAGTCACAAGCCTATCTAGTCATGTGGGAGGCTGTGTAGCATGGATCAATCATTGTCTCTCATCTCGTAATTCCTAAGTGTCTGTACTTTATTTCATATCAGAGACCTGACATTGGCTTAGTCTTCTAGAGATATGCTCCGACAGCAATAGGATGTAAAGTGATCTTCAATGCACTTACGTTTCTGTTGATGCTGGTTGCTGAAGACCAACAAAGCAATTGGAAACCTTCATGGATAGTGTCGACGTCACATGTCAGGACGAGCACTCACCGCCCTAGATTAATTGTTTGGCACCTCTACTCACCTACTCGTACTTTAATTTACATGTCCAGCAAGATGTCATGCCACCAGTGAGAGACAAGAAATTGTTGGTAGCTGCTAACTGCAGATGAGCCATGTACGAAAGACGCTATATCTATCTTATACTGGTCAACCGTCCCGGCTGAGTCAAGATCCACTGCGGAGCGATATCCTCGAACTTCAAGCTCCGTTGCGCCTTGAGTCAACCGCATCATGCAGCGAACTCAACCATTTCGATGTTGGCATGCGCTTCGACTGAGTTGCAGGCCTCGAGTCCGCTTCTACTCGAGTGTTGACAACTCACGTAGCCTGCCTCCATGGAGACCTGGCTCCGTTCTCGACGAGTATGCAATCCCACCAGCATAAGTACAACTGCCGCTGACTCTATGCGTAACAGATGGGTCGAGCGCGAGATTCGGCCTATTAGTCTGCGGCAATTGACCTTCTTTGGGCGGACCTTAACCGAATCACGCCTCATTAGTTCCGCCAACTATGTGCGAACAGAGCTGCCAACCAGGTCAGTATGCATTTTCCCCTTGTATGCCTTGAGCCGTGCCGGCCTGACTTGTGTTTGTGATTGCCACAACCAGAATTGCGCATCGACTGCGAGACATCCAGAAGCTGCCGTATGTGGTTGTAGCAAATCCACATCTTTCACTTGTATATGAGCTCTACTACAAGGCATTTGAACGGTTTCGCGTCATACCGGAGATCAAGACTCTAGAGGATAACGAAAGATTTTGTGACATCCTGCGTAAGACCCTCAAGGAGCATCTCGTCGTGATTCCGAAATTGGCAATGGGCGTTTTGGAATGTCGGGATCTTGTAGCACCAGGCGTGATGGATCAATTTATGAACACTCTCCTTCGATCGGTATGGAAATTGCCAACATCCGGATACCTACCACTCTTGATATGCGAGTGGCTAATTTGCCCACGATCTCTAGAGAATTTCCCGTCGGGTCATTGCAGAGCAGCACTTAGCCTTGACAGAAACTTTCAGCTCACCCTGGCACTTCCCAGGCTCGCAGGACCGGACTGATATGAACGCAGACTTTGTTGGCGAGGTGTTTCTCAAGTGCAATGCGAAAGAGGTGATTGAACGTTGCGGGAAGCTTGCGCAGGATATGATGCGGCAAAGCTCGAGAACAGACAAGATCCCCGAGATCCTTGTACAGGGACATCTTGAAGCAACTTTCCCGTATATTCTGAGCCATTTAGAGTATATCATTGGCGAGCTGCTGCGCAACTCGATCCAGGCTGTCATTGAAAAATACAAAGAGTCTTCCGAAAAGCCTCCGCCCATCGAGGTTCTTATCTGCGAGGCGCCACAACATGTGATCATGCGAGTATCGGATCAAGGGGAGGGATACCCCGTGAAGTTATGCCATATCTATGGTCCTTCGACAAAGGCCCTCTGAGCAAATCACGACTCGAGAATTTGAAACAGGTCCCTGCGATGGCAGCTACGATGCAAGAGCTGACAGTGTCCAAGGAACGGAAACACGCCGACAGGGAAACATACCGAGAGGGCTCGCTTGATTCGCTCACCTCTCGTCCACCTAATCTACGACTGGGAATTGGCCTTCCAATGAGCAGGGTCTATGCAGAATATTGGGCAGGCAGCCTTGAGTTACATAGCCTTGAGGGCTATGGAGTGGATGCGTTTTTGCAGATATCAAAGCTCGGCAACAAAAACGAGCAAGTCACCACGAGAGCATCCATTGATGCTGTTTGATTGTTAGGAGACTAATGTGCCGACCCATTACTTGCACCTCATATTACACCTCACGTTACACCTCACGTCACACCTCACGTTTGTTTGTGTGGAATATGGAAGAAGCTTGAGTCGAAGGAGTTGAGAAACTTATTGGATCGACATGTAATGGCACGTACATGGGCGCACAATATAACCACCACTGCGGAGTACAGAAATGTACACTCATATAGCACTTCCTGGCTAGCACCTTCTGTTGGTCGGTATGTCCGAAACAGGAATACCCCCGTAGCAAATAATGATCCGCGCTCGGCTCATTGCGGGATGACATCAGTGCTTCATAAAGGCCAATATGTTTCTGCCTTCAGCCCTACTGTCAAGTCTCAAGGTTTTGGGACAAATTGCGCTGTCCTGGTTTTGGCCTATTGTATGATTGAATCATACCCTTTGGTGGCGTGGCGGTTGGCTGCTGATCCCTCTTTCGCCTTCAAAGATACAAAATGAAGCGTCTCAACTCCGTTGATGACGACACTCCAATCTACGTATTTATATTGTTGTTCGCGATCCTATTTCTCAGCTTCCTGGGAACTTCTTGGGGTTCAAGCAAATCCTCTGTCAAATCATCGGAAACTTAGCGGAGTAGACTCTCCCTGGACGAAATGGCAGGCACGACGTCAATGCTATGCTTGATTCTGGTCACTCTCTTCAGTAAGTCTCCTGTTACTCTTCTTTACACAGACGAAATCCCCATCGATCAGACGGAATCTAGCCTGTTTGATTGATTTCATTCAAGTAGTATCAGCAGGAAGGATCACTCTAACCTGGATTTGATTGCTAGTACCTCCTCTCGGCGTATTTATGATTTCGGGCTGTAGTGTGGATTTCTTCATCAATATTCTTCTCACGATTCTAGGGTGAGTGAACATTTCCTCTAGAGGCAAATCATGTGTCTTCGATGTTTGAGGTGTATGGAACAGTCTGCTGATAGACATAGATACTTCCCGGGTCATATCCATGCTTTCTATCTGGAATACGTCTACTATCACAACAGCAGTACGGACCCAATGACACGGAAGCGCGCTCCTGGAGTGTATTCGCAACGCATTCTGCAAGGTCACAATGAAAGATCATACGGTAGCACTGTTTGAGCGGCTTATCCAACTGCGACCGATTCAGGACAACTGCGACAGATTCAGAATACGAATGACGAACATTATCCGGACCACCACAGGAAGAGTGTTGGGGCTTGATGCTCAGATGATGCCATGTTGCTTTGTGTATAGTTTTCCCTTTTCTGGACCTTGACCCGGCCCAGCCCTGAATACCAGTTTCATTGTTATGGCCCCTTTTATTTCATGTCTACATGCTTATGGTTTCTTACGGTTCTGGAAGACTCGAGATACTTATAATGGATATCTCAACTAATGAAACTGGCAACGAAAAATGCCCTTCATTGTTCATCGACATACTGCTAGACTCTAGGCCGTCTGAGCACCCGATCCAGCCGCCTTAGTAGCAGAGGCCTTGGTTCCCTTCAAAGCAGGAAAATCAAAAGCCTCACTGCTCACCACGGTGCCGGCCGTCCGGGGCACAGCACCAGAGCCGGGACTCCACCACAACGCACCAACCCAGGGCTGCACATTCCAGCCCACAGAGAGCGTCACGTTCTTGCGCTCCGCGAGCTTCCCTGTAATGTCGCTGATCTGGTACTTGGCCCGTTGGTTGCTCAAACGGAGCACGCCCGGCGCGAGAGTCTCTTTCTTTGAGGCCGAGGTTTTCTTCGAGGCGGAAGTGCTCCGCTTCTGGTTCTTGCGGGGCGAGGAGGACGATTTGGCCGGGAAAAAGCGCTGGCGGAGGGCATTGAATGAGTAAGGCGATTCTGGGGCGGAGATGATAGTGTCCCAGATGATGGACTCGGAGTTGGGAAGGAGAGAGGACTTCTTGTCGGATGACGAGTACGAGGCGTAGACGTAGACGAAGATTTGTTTTGTGTTCCAATTGAAGAGCGAGGAGAGGTCTGAGAGGTCTAGATTTAGCTCAGGAATCGCGAGCAGAGTCTATCAAATACGTACCAGCATTCAGATCGAACCTGACCTGAGCATACTCTTCCTTCTTGGTTGAATAGTAATTTGGCCGACCCTTGATTCTGCAAATGGGGACAGTCGTTAGCAACTAACATCCAAGTGAATTCAATCATCAACAAACGTACACGTGGACATTTTTCAACGAGACCTCAGCCTTCACATCATGCGCAGGATACAGCAACACTGACAGCGCAGCGATTCCAGCAACAAACAAGGCGACGGTGGTGAAGAAGCCAAAGACGCCCTGCGCTCTGTTGAGGGACGAGTGCATCTCGTTTATTTACACTGATACTCCAGTGTGATAAGCTGCCTTTGGTCTAACGACTGATTAGTTGAGAACAACAAGCTAAATCAGAATAATGCTAAGCCGCATAGAAAGGAATGAACAAGAGGAGCCAGCGTCCCCGATGATGCCAATGGCAAAGCGGCACGATGATGCTTGAAGCCACATGGGCCTTTTCGATGCGGGCGGTCAATAAACAGTGGCGCAGTTACTCGCACTAGCAGTGTCTTATCGATAAGCGGTGGGTCTCCTCTTTCTATCTCAAGGTTTCCCTCATTGAATCCACGAGAATGGAGATGAGATCATAAGGCTATAAATCTGGATCTAGAGATCGACTGTCAAGAAACCTCCTGCAGTGGAAGCTAGCCAACCGTTACAATTCCTCAAGCCGCGCCTTCTTTCCGAGCCGTATCCCGGAAAAGTTTCCCTTCCCTAGCAAATCCCACAGCTACACCAGCAACTAGCGTACGAAGTAGAGTACCACTGCGTACACACCAGATAACATATCCCGATATGGGCGACCACGTTCTCTTTTTCTACGGTGAGCTGCTTACCCACGACCACCTGCTCTGCACGTAACCAAATGGACATCGCTCGCCAGGCGCCTCTCACCTACCCCAACCCGTCCCACCAGCACATCACCAACTATGTAAACCACCAAAGACGCAACCCTTACTAACAAACGCAACGAACAGGAACCCTGATGGCCCCGCAAATACTCCACAGAGTCATCCACGGCCGCCCGGACCCAGAACCCTGGCAAAAGGGCATGCTCTCGTTCAAGCCCGCCATCCTGCACGGCTACCGCCGGCACCGCGTCCGCGGAGCCGATTACCCCGGCATCGTGCCCTGCCCGAATGATATTGAGGATTCGACAGGAGAATCCGGCAGCGCCTCGGTACTGGGGACTGTCGTCTCGGGGCTGACGGACGGGGACGTGCACCGGTTGGATGTCTTCGAGGGGTCGGAGTATGCTAAGGAGAGGGTGAGGGTGCGGGTGCTGGCGGAGTCGTTGAGTGTGGGTGGGCGGCAGGAGGCGAGCATCGCGAAGAACCCGGATCGGCACCTGAAGGATGTGCTTGATGCGGCTGGGGCGGAGTTTGCGGATGAGAGGGAGGAGGTGGAAGCTTTGACATATGTTTATGTGGCTGGGCAGGATCGATTGGAGGATGCGGAGTGGGATTTTGAGGCCTTTAAGAGGGATAAGATGGCGTGGTGGGTTGATGCGGATGAGAGCGAGTGGTGATTTGGGCCCCTAAGAGACGATCATGGACGCCAATGTCGAAGCATTCAGATATATCATACTATAGAGAATAGCCCGCATAGAGCGGTTGATTTTCAACCTAGATCATCTTCGTTCCGGAAAAGCTATATCTAAGGCTACTCGAACGAATACATGCCAGGCTTTATGATGACGAAAATGAGATCATACGTATGCAGCTAAGTGCTCGAATTGAAAATAACAATATAACGCATATATGGTATCTCATGCATCCCGCAAAAAAATATGACCTTCCCTGCCCGTAATCCGAAACACCAAACAAGAGAGAAAATTGTCTATGTGTGCTTTCAAAGTGAGATAGAATCCGCGTCCTCTCAAGTATGCTCAAGCCCTTTTCTTGAGCGACCTCGGGCTCTTTCGAACACCATCCGGCTTGTCTGTCGACAACCCCGGCGGAGGCGTCCCAATGACTTGAACCTCAACAATGCTGTCATCCGCTGATTGATGAGGTATCTGTATTTGCTCTGCGTCTTCTTCAACAGGTTTTGGACCCTGAGGCAGAGATCGCGCTTGTCCGCCTTGAGAGTCTTCGACGTGAAGGAGACAATGCGACGTCATATCCTCCGGTTGGACTTGTTCTTGGCTGTCGGGGACCTCGACAACCTCCTTGCGAGTAGATGCACTTGCTGCCAACGTTTGAGGCGTTGATCTTTTCGCTTTCGCCTTACTATCTGGCGTACCATCTCTCGACGAGCTCCTAGTCACGGACCGCAACTCCCCCAGTTTTGCCTTCTGAGCAGGCTCTAAACTGGACTTCTCCGGTGGCGGGTTTCTGCTTGGCGACTTCTCAGATCGTGTTGCCGATGCATCCCCCATATTCTCAGCTGTAAGATTAGGCTTGTCTTCAGAGCGCCCAAGGAGATAAGATATTGGCTGTCGGTCCGCCATGGTAGCCCTTTCAGCCGCCTTCTCGCGGCTCAGTTGTTCTTGTTCATCATACAATTCGTCAAGAAACTTCCGCAATCGAGAACGAAGAAGCCCTGACCTTAGAAGAGGCCAATCGTCCTCCACTCTCATATCTCTTCGGAGCAATTTCGTCACGAATGTGTCTGGATCCTGTACGAATTTCTCCACATATGCGAGCAGATAGAGGCCACAATCCGAGTAGTTGGGCTGCAATGGAATTTCTTGAGCTTTCATCCCCTTGATCAGGGTTGTGTCAATCTCGACCCCACGTTTGGATTGGGCCTCTTCACGGAGATAGTGGCGCAGGACGCTGATGGTGGGAGAGCGTGACAGGTTTAGTGAGTCAAACGTGATGACCGTCGGCTGCCATACTTCATATCTTGGACCCTGGCGCTTCTTCTTTGGCTTCCGTGACTTTTGACTTCCTAAGACCGAGGATTGGCTGGCATCTTGAGAATTGACCTGCTTTGAGGGCTCCGTACCTCTTGGAGGACTCGAGAGCTTTGCGGGAGAGGATACAGGATTCTCCTCTTTTTCTGGCCATTCTTCGTCAGAAGCAGGCACTTCCAGCTCCCCCGTCTCCATCTCCTTTTGATCCAACAAGCTCATGGCAGCCAACGACTCTCTTGCCATTTCCTCCTTTTCCGGATTTGGTGCGGAACGAGCGCCACTTTCGGTCTCTCCGCTGTCGGAAGGTATGTTCCCAACAGCCTCCGGCGTGTTCGGATTCTCCGAATCGTCACGCTTTGGTGGAGCTGAAGGCTCTGTCTCTCTTTCCGCAGGTTCATCAACTACCACTTCTTCCTTGGCAATGCCCGGAAGTTTTGGTAGATTGCATATAATCGCAACATACCAATGCGCTGCTTCATTGATAGGAACCACGATATAATCGTAACTGAATATGTCGACATTCCTCGTCCACTTTTGAACGCCTTCGTAATTGATACCTTGCTTACCCCTAGGCAAGTTCGTAAGTGTTGCAAAAAAGTACGAATTGAAGAAGTAGACTCTTTCTGAGACTTCCTTGTTATTTCGTTCCAGATGATCTTCCAAGAAGCGTATGTAGAAGCCGATCAGGTTGTCGTTCAAGAACTCGTTATCACGCAGTCGTTCAAGATCTTGACCGTCAACTTCAGCCTTCTTCTTGCCGAAACGCGGGTATACAAGTGGCCTATCAAGTCCATTAATCCTGCAAAGCAATGATTGAAGCGAATAGTGCTCAACAGACCTCTGCCATTTTCGGGAAATCTTTTCGCATTGCTGTTGAAACGAGTTTTGCTCTTCATCATCTCTGCGACGCCAGGTTAGCAACATTTCTTTCTAGAAGCTAGCTCATACTCACGAAACCACTGTTGCCGGCAGCATACGACGCGTCGTGGACCTTGTTGCACGACTGGAAGCTGTGGCCTCTCCTGTGTACTTCTTGACTGGCATCTCCACCGCCTCTTCAGTACCCGCCTTAACAGAGGTTGCTTTCATCGTTTCATTAGAAGCTGTTTCTCGGGACTTCTGCGCAAGTCCAGAACTTGAGGACGAGTCTCTTGGACCGGATTCCGAAACTACGTTAGGTTTGAGGTCGTTTTGCAGTGAGGCTGAAAGCTTTGGCCGTTTCGGTACTTCAACTATGGTCTCGGAACCCTGTTCGGGAGCCGTCTCAGTGCATGGTCGCTTGATTCCGTTCAGATACCTTCCCGAAATTTTCGTATTTTCGTTTTTTTTGAAAGCATCATCCATCCATTTACTGATTTGGTGAGCATGGAGTAACAGCTTCGGTGGGAGAAATACGTACCCATCCTTTTCCACCACTTTAGCCCCACTGGCGGCGAGTAATGCGTAAAGGTCCTCCTTGGCTTCAGAGGATGTGAGATCTATATCCACCGATTGATCACCGGTACCTTCTCGGAGAGCGAGCCTAACTTTACAGCTTGGCGAGGCCCCTCGAAAGATCTTGAAAACTTTGTTGAAGGGTATCTGAAACGAATTCGCGGGTCCGGCCCGGTCATTTTGATTGTCTCATTGATTGGATCAACATGTACCTCGACGGTCTTGTCGCCCGAGGAAGGTCCGGTGATAGTACCGAATCGAACAGACGTTGCTTGAAAACACCGGTCGGCTCTAGGGCGTGTCCCAGATTTGGTAATTTTGCGCTTGAATTTTCCTTGATGCGACGAAGGGACGAAGACAGTCGGGCGGATATCGGCTGGTGAAGTCTTTCTTTGGGCCACTTGCTTCCGAGCGTTAATGCCGCCCCTGACGTCTTTCTTACGAGACTCGCGGGAAAATTCCTGGGCGGGCTGCACCGTCGCCGCCCCTTGCAGTTCATCTGGACTCTCTCGTAACTCTGAGTCTCTTTGTTCATTCGTCGGATGACCGTGAAGGGATGGACTCCCGGACCTATCGAGTCGCCGTGGCCTTTGGATCTCAACGCTCTGAAGAACTTCATGCTTCACACTCGGTATTGAAAAGCGCCTTTCCATAGCAGCATTTTCAGTGAAGCAATGCTCGAGTACGTCCTCCGGGGAAAAGCGATGGCGGAATCTCTTGGCCCCTAATTTGGGGCTAACTTGCGACCTCGTAGCCTTCATATTCTTCTCAACCTGTCGAAATTCATCAACTGCGTTGCGATTGGATCGTTTTAACTTATGAGCTTTTAATGACTGTTGGCTTGACCCGGGCGACAGACGTGCGGTGTTTCCAATGACCGAGGACGACTCAGCGACGGAATGAGCTGTTTCATTATCATCGGAAAGGTCGACGAAACTTTCGGGTGGCGAGCTCTGAATATCTCGACGCCGGCGCTTTACGGGTCTCTCCGAAAGGTCATGCTCTAGAAGGGTCTGCGGACGAGGTATATTGACCCCAGATAATGTCTGATACCCCCCGCGGTTTCCCTGCATTCCCCATGCGCGTACCGGCCCGCTCTCTCGAGCTTTGGAAGAGAGCTTGTCCACTGGTTTCAAGACACCCTTGACATTCTACCAATACTCAACGTCAGTCCAGTCATAAGAGAATAAACACATTTCGAGAGCACCATACCTGAAAAGGGTCCCTCTTCTTAGATGTCTGTCCAGGGGATTTCTTGAATGTTTCCCCGGGTACTATCGGTACTCCATTCGGACTTGGACTAGAAGAGAGTCCCCAGAACGTCAGCTCCCAGCCGCACAAATACTCCCGACATATAACGGCTTCTTGGTGACGTACCGTGTAGAATAGGAAGGGAATAATCTCTGCTCGTCCTGGCGCGAAATGGCGCGGTCCCGTCGCATCGACGCATCTTGTGTAGACCTGTATCCTCCGTATAAGCGTTGTCCAGTCCGTATCCGCATGTGCGAGGTCATATTTACAGACGACTCATCCCTAAACGTAATCGAGGAATGGTCTGACGTAGTAGTAAACGTACAGGTCGAGTTTCTGAGGAAGGTCGAAATCTTTGGGCATAGCGATGGAGACTCTAGAGTATAAGATCCAATAAGTCTCGTTGCGTCGCTGCAAAGGCAGAATGAAAAGGACCATGTCCCAAGCGTATAATGATTATTCAGTGTATACGCAAGAGGGTATAGGAGAAGAAATTAGAACAGTTGGAAGGGCGTAATTCCAACTCACATCGGGGGACTGAATAGATGTTTGAATCCCGGATTGAATGACAGACGCAAAAGACCCTAGATGAGGAGCATCGCTTACGCCGGACACCTGAGTCCGTTGTAGCTCTTCAGAGGTGGCATCTGATGACGGAGCGGGGATGGGATTCTGAAGATTTGAGCGGCGACTGGGAGAAATCAGCGGAGCGAGAAACTCTGATATTGTCCCAAAAAATGGCATGTAAAGAGAGCAGGGTTCATTAAAGTCGCAGATGATCTACCATTCTCCGGATTTCATGAGTAGTGGGCAAGAAATAATAAGACCGGAAGCAAGAGGACATTATTGGAAGAGACCGGTAATCATATCTTGCATTGATAACAAGAAAGGCGGTCGGCCGGTTATTTTCTGCCCTTGCGGGTAAAAAAAAAAAAAAAAGAAAAAATAAAAAGCACGCGGAAGCTGCAGTGATTCCGTATCATCATTGGGTGGAGATCATCTGAGCAAACAGACCACGACTACCTAGGTACAGAGCGTGGGTAGTAGGTACCTTACGCGTAAAAGATAGTCTCTGACTTAGGCTATCCAATCATGATCTCATGGAATAAATGGTAGGCTAGTAATGTACCGAAGCTTCCTGTGAAAGTATGATTTTACATTTTGCGCTAGATCTAGCGCTGTCCGTTGACCCTGCATCACATCTCGTATTGCCCAAAAGAAATGAGAAAAAGAAAAAAGAAACCATGGGAACCTCGAGATGAGAAAGAAGAAGAAACACAAGGCGAGAAATGAGAAAGCAACTAGAAAGTCAGACGCAATGATTCGCCCCAATGCCCCGAGCCCAGAAACGTCCCAATGTTTTCGTCTTCCTTACTATACAGGACCATTCAATGAGAATTAAACCATGTAAATCAAGACGCCGCCGCTTTTCCTTTATCTCCCATGGACTCGTCATTCGCTGTAGGTCTTCGTCGGTCCCCTGCGAGGTGGTGGTGATGATGAGCCGCGTTTCCGGCCGCCTTCTCCTGGCGAGCCTGGTCAATTGCGGAGCGCTGAGCAATACTGTCGTCGTGGCTCTTCCATACAATGTTGGTGTCGGCAGGGAAGGCAAGAAGCCGCTTAATCGTCTCCCTGCGCAGAGTGAGTGCCACGGACCTTGCCAACTAAGAGTGAATATGATAACTTACCTGATCTTGATGTTGCGCCCACCGTCAATCCGGGTCCAGACACTCAACACATCCTCTCCGCTCCTTACACTGAGAACGGCGCCACAGACCTCATCGCTAGCCTCCGCGAACTGGTCACCAATCATGGCCAACAAAAGATCCTCCCAATACCGGTCAGCAACTCCCTTCTTCAGCCGAATAATCCACTTTCCACCCTTCTTGTTGGAATCGTCCTCCCATACAGGACGGATGCCTTTCTTGAAAATGTGATAGTCAGAGACGGTGGGGAGGAGCGATGGGCGCTTGAGATGTGTGTATATCGACCAGAAACTCTCCACCGAGGATATAGACGCAAGGGGAATGGTCGACTTCTCATAGTCAGAGTACTTGGGTGTCGGGGGACGGTACCAGATCACCCACGTAGACTTCAGAGCATGCTCCTTCGGGCCAGTCAAGGAAGAGGCTGAAACCTTGGCCTTGACTTCCGCTGCCGAATCCTGCTCGGAAGCCGTCTCTCGCTTCTCCCCCAGCGCTTTGGACGAATTCAGGTCTGACGCATTGGTGCCAGGCGTCTTGGGAGTACCAAAGGACGCGAATGCGCCCGAACCCAAGCCGAATGCGGAGGAAGCGTTCGTGGAAGGAGAAGACACGCCACCCGAGAGGGGGGATAATGCGTTGAAGGGATTCGATCGACCGCCGTGCGAACTATCCGGGCCGAAACGCTTTGATGTGTGACCGCGGGGAAGATCGACTCTCGCGCCACCGTCCTTTCCGTCGGTTCCCGTCATAGACAGAGACAATTTGGCGGAACTGAAAGACACATGACACAGGTTAGTCTTGCGCATAACGGTATACCTTGCAAGCGACGAAAATCCTGGACATACTTGGCCCTGCGAGTCCACAAGTTTGCATTATCCATGGCGCTATGTAATCAGACCGTCGAAAAACAGACGGTCATCAGGGAGAGAAAAAGGCGCGGCAAGCAGGTGCGAGGAGAAGCTGTTATCGCAGGGCGAAACTAGGACAGGCGGAAAAAAAGAGTCGGCAATACCAAGTCCTCAAAAAAAAGGCAGGAAACGTCCGGAGATCTGAAAAACAAGAGAAAGCTAATGGGCGAGAGCGATGCTAGGTAAAATAGACAAACAGAAATAGTAAAAAAATTCGTGATCGTGATCGTTAACGAGAAGTGAGTATGTGTAAGTGTGCGAGATTGTGCGTGTGAGGGGAGAAGAGGTAATGCGGGTTCACTGTAAGGTAGGTAATAGGTAAAGTAGGGCCGAGTTTGATGGAATACTACTAGTAGTAGAGCAATAGCAGAGCGAAGATAGGGTGTAGATGCCTAGATGGTAGTGGTAAGGGTAGTGATGGTGCTGGTGGTTGTTGTAAGTATGTAGTAAGTAGGTATAGAGTCTTAAGATGCAGACCTAGAAAGCAGAATCATCACCACTCAAGGAACTCAAGGACCGTTTCCACTGCCCAAAATCCGCCGGTTATTGGCCTTTCACGTTTCCTTCGAGCTCTGCCGCTCCCCTCCTCTGGCAGCCAGCCAATCATCATCCGTCCCGCCCTTCTCCGCCCGCACCATCGTTTTTCCTGCTCTTTTTTCCCCCTCCTTAAAAGAAAATCCTCTCTTTTTCTTCCTCTTCTTTTTTTCTTCTTTTAACAAAACCCAAGACCACCGACTCAAATCATCGCTGGCTGCGTATCGTTATACCGCTTCCACTGCTCTGGCGATTCCGATGAGTGCGTCGAGATGAATTCTCTACAGAATCCCCGCGTCTAAAACCATCATCACGAGGGCTTTCCAGCTACCCATGATGCGGTGATGACCTGATCGACGGGACATTCCACCCCCTAGAATACCCATTTGTTTACTTTGATCCAATATGATTTGGCTTCGATTGCAGCATCTATACCCCGTTCTTGAATTTACTAAATTGTAACAAATAACGATTCATGTTCGTTTGTAGAGCCGGTGCGTGTGTTCCTTTCCGTCCTCCATCGTGGGCCACGTTGGCTTTTCCTGTTTGTTGTTCTCCTTGCATGCATGACGAAGCACTCGTACTCTGGTAATCCGAGGTGCTCAACCGCCTCTATCCTGCTGGAATGGCCTGGCTGGTTGAGCGTGAGGTTCAATGGCAAAGTCTGATTGTCGCAAGACGCCAATACACTTCCCTGACTGCCTTTTGTTTCTTCATTTTTCTGTTGCTGACAAGGTCTTCACGTAGTATGTAACTTCTGCCCTCCATTTTTCTGGATTCTCTTGGGGCTTCAATGCTCTAATTATATGACTCGTCCCTCTTAGCATCTTGCAACACGACAGAGCGTAAGCGTGAGGTTGTCCGTCTGTCATCCGCTGCTGTCATCTACCGGGAAAAGAGTATGATCATCTTTCAATGTCTCTTAGAATAATTTGGATCGAATTGAAGCTGAGTCTATACATTTGCCTGTCACACAGGCTCTCAATTCTCAATTCGTAATAGAAGGATATCTTAGCTAGATCGAATCCGTAGATCCTGCGCATGCCACCCATTAAACCACAGAATTAGAGTACTTTCTCTCGCTCCCTCTTCCTCCAGACAGAGCAAGCGAGATTTGGAGCAGGATGTTTGCTCGTAATGTGAAGACGAAAGTCTCATCAACACCTGACGCCTGTGGCGAGTCAGGCGGCGGATTATGTAGTGTCGCTTACGTAGTGTCGCAACGACAAAGACAATTCCATGACTAGTATGGAGCATATATGCGGCGCAGAAGAGCGCAAAGCATGAATCTACTGTTCAGTAGGCTGGGCCGAGGGCTGTGGGTTCTCCTCCACGTCTTGTCTGACGCGCTTCGTCTCCCTTTCGCTTTGCGGAGCCGACAAAGCGGCTTTCCTTTTCTCTTTATCTTTCTGATACTCTGCGCGACGAGCTTCCTTGTCCTTCTCCTTGCGCAGTGCTTTGGACTCAAATTCATGCCAGTCGCCCTCGATATTTTCCAACCTGCAACTGTTAGTCATAGTCCAACCGAGAGAGATACTGAGCAAACTTACTCAATAGCTTGTTGCGGAGCTGGCTCCTCTGACACAAAATAGGAGTGCGTCAGTACTTCCTCCGCTGAGGGTCGCTTTGTAGGATCGTATCGGAAGATCTGAGAAACTAGGTCCAAAGCCGCTGGTGACAGTACTTCCCGGTATACGTCTTCAAAGACTCGCTTCTTGCGCTCCGTCGGCCGCATGAGCTCAAACCAGGGCATCTCCACAAGGTCAGGCCATTCAGCCCGCGTAGGCGTTCCAAGAGAGGCATAGAGCTTTTCAAGCTGACTGATTTCGCCCCCTTCCCCGGGAAAGACAGCCTTCTTTGTAAACAATTCGACAAACACACAGCCCGCGCTCCAAACGTCCACGGCAGGACCATATCTGGTTTCTCCGAGAAGAAGCTCCGGTGGCCGATACCAGATCGTAATCACACGGTTGGTGTAATCAAGTTGGCGGCTCTTAGAGAAAAACCGCGCCAATCCGAAATCTGCGAACTTCAACAAGCCCCTATTGCTGATGAGGATATTTGCTGCCTTGATGTCGCGGTGCAGAACGCCCCGGTGGTGGAGGTAGTTCAAGCCGTCAAACATTTGCTTGGCGAGATCCTTCTTGTGAGCAGCGGTGAGGGTGAAGGTAGGGTGATTAATGAGACCTGTGAGATCGTGCGAAAGGTATTCGAAGACCATAAAACACTCATTCCTCTCGACCATAACTTCGAGTAAACTGACCACATTATGGTTGCGAAGGTGCTGGAGGAGCTTGATTTCTCGGACAGCCGTAACAGGGAAACCGTCTTTCTCGCCTTCCATACGTATCTTTTTGAGGGCCACCTTCCTTTGGGTATAGACGTGTATTGCTTTAAAGACTTTTCCGTAGGTGCCAGCACCGATGACGGACTCGTTCCCTGGCTTTCGGTAATAAACGGAATCGGACTTCGCGTACTCTTCTGGGAGAGTAGGCCGAGGCTTTGGTCGGGTTAATACTCGGGGTTGCTTCACGGCCGGAGAACGTTCCCGAGGACCGCGAGGTGGACGAGGGTCCTGCCGACGATCATCTTTCCTGCCTTCGTGTCGCTGGTCAAAGCGGCGATCTTCCTTTCGGTTGTCGCGAATATCTCTAGGCTCACGGAAATCACGCGGCTCTCGTCGAAAATCTCTCCGGTCGCGTCTCCCTCTGTCCCGATCACGATTTCGGTGCCGATCCCGGTCTCTGTCTCGATCGCGGCGGTCAAAGCGTGGTTCAGGTTTGAATCGCGGCGGTGGGCCAAGAGGCACTCTGCTGCGAGGAGGCTCAGCAACACGAGGTGGAGGTTCTCGAGCCTGCATCCTCTGTGCCAGATCTGGAACTGGCTTGGGGGCAGGGGCAGGTGTGGTTTTGGCTTTGAAGGCGAAGCTAAACTTGCCGCCTTTATTCGGCGTGGAGTTGGTGTCGGACGGTTGTGTAGGTCGAGACATCTTCCGAAAATCCCCATCCTCGGAAGAGGGTTTTGAACCTTGATCCACGCCTTGTAGATCTCTGCTCGGAGACCCGAAAGCTTGGTCTCTGTCTCCCTCCCCTGCGAAGCTCTGCTCTTCTGCCGCTGGAAGGGGCGCAGGGCTTTGTGAGGGCTCCGCATGAGTGGTATGAGGGCTGGGAGAGCCGCCGCGGCCGCGAGCACTCCATTGGAAACTGTTAAAACGGCCTCGCCCGGACGGCCCAGTATTGTAGGATGAGTGACCAGAGCCAGAAAATCGCCGGTCGCGGCCATAATTTTGGAAGTTTCCACGATAACCTGAATGCCCACCACGGTAGGAAGGACCCGAATACGATTGAGGGTGGTTGGCTGGGCCAGTCGGCGGAGCTTGACCCTGACTGTACTGGTCTTGCGAGCCGCCCTGTGAAGGATAATTGTTTTGACGATATGGAGATGAATGTGAAGACCTGTTCGCAGCGTAGAGTTAGCCTCGCACTAATGTTGACATGTTTCTGATTTAGTAAATAAGAAAGCTCACCCTTGCGGCCTGTGATAAGGAGATTGCCCAGTCAGACCCCCACGTCCTCCAGGGTGAGGTGACGTAGATTGAGGGGATCCCTGATAGGAATTACTTGATGGGCCGTACTTTGGTGAGGTGGAGTATTGACTCGTGTCCGCCTGTGGTCGTGAGGGGTGAGAGCGCTGGTTGTTATTGGCATTCAATGCCCGCTCCCCATGGAAAGGGAACGTTTCACGCGCATTGGGGTCTCCATCTGCAGGGACGCCGGTACTTTCAGCATCGAAGCTGGGGACTGGTCGAGGGGGCGATGGAGATCTAAAGGAACTGTCCATAGCAGACTGAACTGGCCTAGGATTCATTGTTGCGTCAATCCTGGAACTGTGACGCGAGGTCGCCGAAAATCTTGAACCAGTTGAGTTAATGGAATGGCGAGAAGGCGATCGATGGCGATACTCTTGGTCGATATCGCCTGCAGGGTCCGGGCTGTTAAATCGCTCGCGGGGATTCCTCGGCGACCTGGGACCACGTGGAGGGGACTTGAGACCCTTGAAGCGATCGGATTCCTTCCTACGCCGGTCTCTTCCTCTTCTAGGAGACCTTCGACGCGCCCTGCCACGCCCCGGAAATCGTCCACGTTTTTTATGAGGATAGCCCCGATCGAATTCGCCAAACTGCTCCGAGGCCGGATGGTGATGGCTAGGGTCTTGTCGAGGTGAGTAGGGTCTCACTGGCGACGGACTCTGCGTTCTCTTTCGCTTGAATGGAGGAGGTGCAGATGGAGAGTTGTCCCTTCGATAATCTTTTCCGGTCGGTCTCTCGCCTTCCAAAGGCTGAGGCTCGGCAAACTGGTGATGATCTTGATTCTGGCGTTGTCTGGGCTCAGAGTACGGCAGACCGGATGAACCACGCGGAGAGGTGTTATTCGGAGAGAATTCACGATATGAACGAGGTCCTCCAAGCTCTGATTGGGGATGAGCACGCGAAGGTGGCGGCGACCGTAACGGGGGAATAGGTCCGTTCCCTTTGGACCGGCGACGACGCTCTCTGTCGCGGAATCTGTCCCTCCCTCTATCACGGTTCGACCCTCGAGGCCTCTGCCTTCCTCTGTCCCTCTGATCTCTGGTATCGATGGGGGCGCTCCACTGGTCTCTCAACAGCGGACTGTTACGGGACCCAGCCATGAAAATTTCTTGAGGTGCATCTGGTTTTAAAAACTAGATATAGTATGAAATAAAGGCAGTGGGCATGGGATGAACCCGCCGACTGGAGAACGGATGAATTAGCGTGTAAGTGTGATCGTAGGATATTCCGGTGGAGCCTTGTCCTTCGTCTAGTCAATTCGGAGCGTGTGTCGGCCGCGTTCACTTTTGGTAAGTCTTGTCGGGCGGGAAAGAAGCATGAATGGATAATGCGGAGGGTGGTTTTTCC